TACTAATTTCTCATAACTATTTTTATAATCACATTAATTTACAGCTATATTATTTAAAGTTAGTACACTATGTATTGTAACATGTCATAAATTAATTAATATACTATGACATCTTTCAACTTATTTTCATAGTGAATTTTATTTTGAATTTCTTAATTAGTATATATAATTTTTATTTTAGTCCATATGCATAACAACTTTTTTGTTATTTTGATACCTATAGTTTATTTAGTTATTTTTATGTATAAGAACTAAAATAAAAATCTGTTATATATAAGGATCAAAATAATTTTTTTAAAATGAGAGATCATTGTTTTACGAACTTTAATAGTAGAGACTATTTTGAAAATATTTTTTCGTTAGGGAGGACAAATAAAAAAAACAGGTTCTTATAGCAACTAAAATTGAATTTAAACCATTTTTTATATTAAATAAAAAATAGTTTAATTAAATTTTTCTATTTTTATTTTTTATATTATATAAAATTTATTTAATAAATAAAAGAAAGAAAAAATTTTACTTATAAAAAAAATTTAAAAAAATTAGTGGACCTCTGAAGCAAAATTTCTTATTCATATAAACAAACATATTTATTTATTTAATAAGTAAAATATTAATTTGACTATTTAATATTATAAGTAAAACATGTAATTTTTTTTATTAAATTTATTAGTTATAAATATTGACTCCTATAAGGCTTTGGGTCTTGACTGCTTTCAAATTATTATTTCTGATTTTATTTATAATAAATGAAAATCTAATTTTACTGTGAGTATGAATTTGAAATTTAACTCCAGTTGTTACTCTTTCTTTTTTCTGTATTTTTTTATTATTATTGTAGTTTATTTTTCATGAATCTGTCTCATTTTGCGATTTTGTTTTGGTTTACTAGTGAAAGAATAAAGATGGGTGATATTTAAGGGAGAGGAGGATCTACCTCTATTCCAAGCATATATTTTACAGTATCTATCATTTTACTACTAAATTATTACATTTTGTTTCAGATGTTGAGAATATTAAAAAAAAAAAAGTCATGATTCATTATCCTATTTTCCCATTATAAATGGATAATTACTGTTTAATTATTTTAGTTGAATAGATATGTTGGCTGAATGAACAGCGAAGAGGGACTTCAACTCCAGAGATAAATTGAAATGCATTTTATATATTATATCTTTTTGTTATTACAATAGTTATATAAAGACAAATCTATAGATGCTTCTTTGAATGTTATCTATTGTTTATCAATTTGCTTCTTACATAATATTTGGATTGCAACCATGACTCAAAAACTACCCTTGTCAGCTTATGTAACATAAACAAAACTTATTTTGCTATGAAGAGTTTTGAAGATAGTACCTTGTTGACTTTGAATTGTGTGAATTTAATGTATAATCACACAAACATATGTAAAGGAAGGTTACCAAACCTAGAGACCTTTTTAATTTAAACTCAATCAAGGTTATATTATTCTTTTTCCTTTTTTTAAATCATGTTGAGAAATCATTATATTTTGATTCTTTGAAGTGAATTCAGTTCTGATCAATTGACTGCAGAAGTTGGATTCCCCACCTTAACTTCTTCTGTAGTACTATTTGTCATAGTATAACCACTTTTCTTTATTTGCGATTTTGTTATCAAGTTACTATTGCAATATTAGTTGACAATATTTTTAGTTAAGAAATGATAGAGTTGGAAGCAAGACGTGAATGTGTCAAACAGAATGTTGCTCAAATGTGTCACTTGTACTTCTACCTTCATAAATCAATATATTTGAATTGAATACTTTGGTCTAATTTAGTTATATTCTTCTCTTATGTGTGTCCTCATTATTACATACGATAGTTCTAAATGTAATGAAGGAGCATTCTTAGCCAAGATGAAGTTCTCAAGATAAAGCCTTCCAAAAAGAAGTCTTCCTATCCAGCCACAATTTAGGCACTTACAGGCCTATACAAATTACAATTGGCAGCATTTATTGACGTTATTAATTGTCTTAAAAAAAGGACGTAATAATAGAAATGTTGTACTGTATAAATGAATTATAACATAGTATTGCACATAAGTTACCCCCAAACACTTTTTTATGAGTATTTTTGTCAACAACAAATGGAAAAGCAATCCTGAATGTGTTTGAATCATGTTAATATCACTTCATCGGTGTTTTAGCCCCGTCGTTCGCTCCAACAGTCCCTTTGTTTAATGGAGCCACTTGTTCATGCTCTATAACTCTTACTGCAGTAGCATGAGCGACAGCAGTTGGCTTCCTTTCCAAATTTCGCACACCATTTTCCCTAGTATATCTCTGAAACAAAGATACACACGAAGCAAAAAAATAATAGAATAGAGAAAAACAATAGATCAAAAGGGCTCTCCAATCTGTAAGCATGTCTGATTCTGATTTTTGAAAAAACTCATTTATGAAAGTGGTGTGTCCATCATGTTATCTTCTATTGAAACAAACACATGTATGACAACACTGATTTTGTTTCTTAATCTTTCTTTTCATGCTGTAACACTTATTTATTTCAAATGAGAAATCGGTGAAGCACAATTATTAAGATTCTTATATTAAGTCACCACGCCTCTTAATGTTGACTCGGCTCTAGTCTCATTGACTAGGACAACCAAATGGCAAAAAAGCAAACAAGAAAATGGAGGCATTCGATGTATAAAAAAATCTAAAATTATCAATAACTTCTCACATGTATTTATTTGCAAATGACATATAAATCATACACTATGACAAGTGATGTTCAAAATTTTAAGTGCATTTTAATCTTTAGTCCATCTATAAGCAACCTATGCATGCTTCCAACATATGTTATCTAATGTAATGGAAACTGAAATGTAAGTATTATTGAATACCAATAAGAAAAAGGTGCATACACATAGTCAAACCCTACGGCTCCTACAGAAATCCCAATAGATACTGGAATTCTGCCCCCCTCTAACAGAATGTAACAATCGTACTATTTCCCTAGTCCCCCACACACCTCATCTCTCACTCTTATAATGCCCCTTCTAACTAACTCATGCATTGAAAAGAAATTTTATCTAAAGTAGCACGAATATAAGATGTAAAGCAATGTTTTCGGACACCTACTGGTCCAACAAAGCACAACACAGGATCCCCATGCATCTGGTTTAAGTGGTGATGTACACTTAGTCTGAAATTAGTAAAAATGAAAATTCACACATTAGATAACATCGACATAGCAACGGGGTATTTGGCAACCTAGCAAAACTCCAGATATTCAATTATCCATTGCTTGACCTTCACTAAACCACAGTAATCACTGTCCAATTGCTTAGTCTGAAATTAGTAAAAATGAAAATTCACACATTAGAAAATATCGACATAGGAACGGGGTATTTGGCAACCTAGCAAAACTCCAGATATTCAATTATCCATTGCTTGACCTTCACTAAACCACAGTAATCACTGTCCAATTGCTTCTGTGCAACTCTTATGTCTAGTTCAATCTCTACATTGGCCTTCTCCCAAGGTTGATTAACAAGAAGCTCTAGATAAACCTGTGAACTGTTATACCGAGCAAGAAACTAGGTCATATTTCCATATATTATGTCTATAATTCCTACAATTTGCATAAATTATGTCGAGGGTTGCTAGGCTGTCCTCCTCCTCATCATTCCTACAATTTGCACTGCCAAATGTTGCAAGGGTTGCTTCTTAATTGACTAGGTGCTAGCCTATATCATCTAAATACTATTACTAACACAAGCTACATATGAATATGAAAGGGAACATTTGTTTGCATATTGCTCAAACAGACTTCCTAGGTTTCAGGATAGTCATTGAAAAATGATAGCTTGAAAAATGTAAATTGAAAAGATTAAACTCTTTATCGGCATAGGCTTATAGCTTTCCATTCATATTGGACATATAAAGTTGGAGCAAGAAAGCTGACCTGCTGCGACTAAAACAAAAGAAATCATTTTAGAGATTTTGACAATGGTCCTTCAACCTTTTGTGTAATTTTCTCAGCTACACACATTGACTGTTGGCATAGACGGACCGAAGTAGAATTTGAGGCAGATGATAGAGTCCTGGACCCATATTAACCATCAGTAACTCTGTTACAGGGCTGTAAATTGACGCCAACAAACAGTTGCTTTTGAAAGCCTTACTTTAGGATCAACTGAATCCAACATAGTTTAAAACTTATCTAAAAACGAGCAACAAATATATCAGCCAACTTGTGAACCAGAATGTTGTCCAAAAAATCATTTTTCCCTCCACTAATTCTTTTTGTTTTTGTAAACAAGAAAAGAAACTTAAGCTACTACTACAAATACAACATGAGAAAACAAGACATTCCCAAATCTTATCAATAAGAATTTATGACTATAACACAACAATTTATATTAATTTCCAATGCCCAGTTGCTTTAATCATCTTCAAAAATTCCTTTTCCGTTTTTATGGTAATGCTGATCTGGAAAAGTTGTTAAATTGAAAACAAAGAGAATAAAACATAAACGCTTGATGCTATAATCTGATCTTTATCATCTTTTTCAAAAAGACAATGGCTGCATCCTATGAATCTTAAGTTATATCTTAGATCATCATATTAGACTTATTACCTTCTTAGACATAATCAATGATTTAGGAGTGTACTAATTACTAATAGTGCTTATGCTTCAATGATCTGTAACAAGAAACCAAAGAGTGATATATGACATTTACATTAAGTGCTAGCACAAGTCCAAAATGATACAGTAATTTTTTTCTACATTAAATATACATCAAACAAGAACTAAAAACCTTAAAAAACCCATGACACCAGCACAGTTAGTCCCCACCTTCACTAATCTCAAAGCACAAATTCTACCTTTTCAGTTCAAATTCATATCAATAATTTAAAAAGAAAAATAAAATTAAGAATATCAGATATATCATATGATTAAAGTATTGACAGTGAACTGTACATATATAAACCGAGAATCTCAAACTCAATAAAACCCAAACAGCCACAAAAAGCATAAATTAGCATTTTCAAAAGCAACGATTACAGGGTCATCCAGCATCAGAGTTTTTAATACACTCCACTGTGTTATGTCCTTCTGTTAAAGCTTTTATATTAAAGCTTTAACAGGTTCAGTCTTCACCTCCTTGTTATGTCCTTGAATGATTCTACAACTAACAGAAAACTCTAAAGCAAAAACCAAGAAATAGTAATTCACTCCAATACAACAGCAGCACCCAGCCCCTTAAGCTTTTCAATGATGGGATTAGCCTCCTCCTTGGTGATCCCCTTCTTCAAAACACAAGGAACCTTTTCCACCAAGTCCTTGGCTTCCTTCAATCCCAAATCAGTAAAAACCCTCACTTCCTTTATGATCTTGATCTTGGCAGCAGCATCATACTTCTCCAACTTCAAATCAAATGTTGTTTTCTCAACCACGGCTTCAACATCGGCCGCCGGGGACCCTACAGCAATTGGAGAGTTTCCGGCGACCGGAGCACCGTAGCGGTGGAGACCCATCTTCAGCCTCCAGAGGACAGTAAAATCGTGCCTTTCAAACGTGTTGAGGTCAAGAAGCTCATTTGCAATGCGTTCAATCTTTTGGGCACCCGCCTCAGTGGAAAGAGCGCATGTGAGGTTAAGAAGTCTCTTGGTACAAAGTCTCTTCGTACAGCGGAACATTTTATACCAGCCACAACAAGATTTCAGTTTCGGAGGTAACTACACAACAAGATTTCAGTTTCGGAGGTAACTAAACAACACAAGAGGCACTTCACAAGACAAATGAAACCCTGTTCACAGGAGAGCGTCTATGTCACACATCTTTAATTTATTTTTATCTAAAATACCCATTTTGTTATTTGTTGACCAAATTAACAATAAGGTTATTTTAGAGAAAAAAAGAAAAAAACATTTATGTAAAAGCTTATCAATTTATCAACTATGCATCTTCTTCTAAGAGGATCAATACCTAGCTATAAAAGACAACCTTATCACAGGAATCAGTGGCTACTTACGTCGGAAGAATGGGATTGCAGAGAACAAACTTCAAAATTTGTCAGTTTGGTTTTCAAGAGGGACGAACGTCGGAACTGAGATTTGAGGATTGCTGTTCGCGAATTTGTCAACTTGGGAACCAAAGCGGGTCAGGTCGAGTTAGGGTCCGCAACTTACACTTTATTCAAAAGGAAGATGTAACAGAAGAAGGAAAAAAAATAAATAGAGAATAATAATGAGAAATAAAAAACAAATAAAAAAATATGTTGTATATATCGATAGAAAAGCAACAAAAAAATTATGAACATATTTAGATAGATAAAATAAAATAAAAACCATTTTATGTAAAATATTTAGTTTAAACCTTATATAAAATCAACTATAAAAATAATATATATATATATATATATATAGATATTATATAAAGAAGTCAAAATAAAAATTGTATATTAAGGTAAAAATAATTTTACCGTTAAACATAAGTTAAAAATGTTGCAATGATTTATGATAAACTATAAAATATTATTTAATGATTTTAAACAATATTACTGTAGTTTAACAAGTTTATCAAGATTCTTACAAAAAGATGGTGTTTGAGATTCAAATAAAATATATTTTACTTTTATTGACTATTAAACATTACAAAACAGAATTCTTTTTTTTATATATGAGAAAGTAGTGATAGTGTCTTTTTTAATTTTATTTTCATTTTATAGGTTAATATTTATAATTAAATTTGCTTTTACTTCTAACTACAACTATTCTAAGTACAGTTACAGTGAATTACATGTTTTATAAACAAAACTTAGATAGAGTCCTTTAAATATTGGTCTTTATTAAAAATAAAAAAATTAATCACAAAAATAATGCAAAAAGATTATATTAATTTTAGAGACAAATCTTTAATTTTAATTAGAGAAGAATACTAAGAGTATTCGAAGCATTGTATATAAGTTTTATCTTCAAATAATCTTTTAATTAATCCATATGCATAACATATATATTTTTATTTTGAATCTTGTAATTTATTTAGATATTTTTGTGTATGAGAACTAAAATAAAAATGTTATATATAAGGATTAAAATAAAAAAATTTTAAATTGAGATAACATTGTTATTCTAACATTAACAGTAGGGATTATTTTGAAAATCCTTTTCCAATTAAGGAGACCAAATAAAAAGGCAAGTTTCCCAACCAAAATTGAATTTAAACCATTTTCTTATAATAATTAAAAAATTAGTTTAATTAAAAATATCTTTATTATATCTTAATTGTTTATATAATATAAAAATTATTTAATAAATAAAAGAAAAAAATCATTACTTATAAACTTTAAAAAAAATAGTAAGCATCACTAGAAATAAGCAAGTTTAACACATTCAATCAAACTTCAATCAAATTGAATAAAAAAGTTAAGTACTTAAGAGTTTATTTTGAATTACTAATAAATTTAGTCGTGTTAATTGATTAAAATCAAATAATATTATAAACACTCATCTATAATTTATAATTGAGACATTGTATTTTGTGTTTCACCAACAAGGTATATAAAGGATAGTAAAATTTTTAAAGAATTCATTGAAATATTTTTATACTTCACTTTGTCACCATGGATATATGTGGATACTAAGAATTAAGCTTCAATGCAATTTTTAAAAAGATTCATTTCTAATTTTCTAAAACCATCTAGATTCAAGGCAATACTTATGATAAAGGGTTTTTTTTTTTTTCATAAAAAGGGGATTGACTACCATGAAGTGTTCTTACTAATGGTAAAGCATAAAACTATTTGGATTTTCTTAACTAAGAAGAGTACTTTAAATTTGGAGTTGGAGTAGCTTGATGTGAAAACTACTTTCTTGTATGAAAATCTAAATGAGCATATTTATATTTCACAACCTAATGAGTTCCTTGAGGCTGGAAGGAAAAACTATGTCTGTCTGCTAAAAAAAATCCTTATACATTTTAAGACAGAGCCTGAGGCAGTAGTATAAAAGGTTTTATGATTTCTCACAATCAATTTTATAATTATGTCTACATTAAGAAGTTATCAGATAATTCAAATATTTATTTATTGCTATACATAGATGACATGGAGCATGGTTGAAATTAATAATCTCAAAGTAGTGTTGAGTAGTGAGTTTAAGATGAAAGACTTGGATGTAGTCAAAATGATTTTGAGCATGAAAAAGTAAAGAGATATGAGTGCAAGTCTACTTTATGTATCTTAGAAGAAATATATTAAAAAATTCTAACAATTTTTTCAAATAGAGATTTCTAAGTTAATGAGTACTCTCTTGACAACACATTTTAAACTTGATGGTAACACATTTTTTAGTACATAAAGAGAAATGTACTAGTAATATTTGTCTAATTTATGGTTCTAATAGAATTGGTAGTAGTCTTGTTGGCTATGTAGATTGTGACTTTGAAAAAGATGTTGTTAAGAGAAGATCAATGTTATATCTTTACTCTTTATAGATGTGCTATTAACTAAAAAGCAATATTTCATCCTACTATTGTTTTATTTATTACAGAAGTAGAGTACTTGTTATTAAAAGGAAGAGTTAATAAGGTATGAAGAAAAATGAATAGGCACTTATATATATATATATATATATATATATATATATATATATATATATATATATATATATATATATATATATATATATATTGTTTCTCATCTGTTTCAATCGAATTTGATCCAAGTCGTGCACATAAATATGGTAAATGAGTAGACCTTATTTAAGTAATATTAACCAGCTTGTCACTCAAACTAACTTCCGTTAGTGTAATAATAATATCTTTATATAAATTGATATTAAGAAATTAAACAAATCAAATATATTTTCAAGGACCACATTAATGTTGAAAACTTTGTAGTGAGAAGTGAAAAGTGAAGAACTAAATTTATTCAATTGAAATAAATTTGAATTAGTTTTTAACATAATTTTAAAACAATTTTATATTATTTTTTAAAAAACCAAAAATAATAATATTAATTTTTAAAGTTTAGTTATAAAATAAATTATTTATTTTTTATTTATTTTAAAATATAATAACAATAATAATTATAACAACGATTAATATAACTTTTAATAGTTATTATCACCGCCACAATATTTATCACAACCATAATTACTATTACTACTATTATTATTACCTTTATGTTTATTATTATTTATATTATTATTATCATCATTATTACTACTATTATTAAAAATTATTATTATGAGTATTATTAATGTAGCCAGTACTATTATATTATAAAGCTATTATTTTTGTTAATATAAATTTATTATTATTATAATGAACAAAATTTTGTTATTTTTTCTTAAAGAAGGAAGTGAATATATTTTTTTATTTATTTAACATTTCATATTGATAGATAATAAGAAAATTAGAAATGAATAGAATTAGAATAAAAAAATTTATACTAATTTTCTTATAGTTTCATATCTTTTGTTCCTTTAAATGGAATTATATTTATGTGAGGAAAAATATTAATAATATGTTTTTTGATATATTTTTGTTATTAATTAAAATATAATAAAAATCACATAAATCATAAGTCTGGCTTTTAATTAATGTTTTTCATTTTAAATTTAATAATTTTTACTTATATGTTTAATAAAATATAATTAAAAGTATATTATAAAAATATTTGAACAGCACAGGAATGCGAAGCAAGGTGGGGTAGGATTGGAGTCTATGTTTAGTAAATTGTGGCTCTCTCTTCAACATAAAGGAGGGTCTGTAATTTGCTAACGTCCGTTGCAAATTGCAGACAGAACCAATTATTGTATGCCACTTCGTAAGATGGGCATTGGCCATTCTCTAAAATCTCTATTTAAAGGGAAAGTTACAAAACCCACATGCATATATACCCACTACACTCACATCCATCTCCACTGTTCTCTAAACAAGTTGAGTTCAAAATCAAAATCTAAATCAAAAGAAAGGAGCATTTCTTACATACCCCCCCAACCCACGACATGCCTCTGTTTCTGATCTTACTTCTGCAGATAGTCGCTGTGACATCATCGGATCTCCGACCTGGGTTTTACTCAAAGACATGTCCACAAGCTGAAATCATAGTCCGAGATGTCATGAAGAAGGCCCTTATGAGGGAACCCAGAAGTGTTGCCTCTGTTATGCGCTTCCAGTTCCATGATTGCTTCGTCAACGTAATTGATTTCTGTTTACTCTTATAAAAGGTTCAATCTTTTCAATTGACTCAGATTTTTACTTCTACTGAATTTGTTAAGGGGTGTGATGCTTCTATGTTGCTTGATGATACACCAACCATGCTTGGGGAGAAACTCGCACTCTCAAATATAAATTCGCTTAGATCATTTGAAGTTGTTGATGAAATCAAGGAAGCCCTCGAGAACGCGTGCCCTGCCGTTGTTTCTTGTGCTGATATCATAATCATGGCTGCTAGAGATGCTGTCGCTCTGGTCAGTACGCATCTCTACCCTTTTCACTGTTTCGCCCCGCTTTTTTCCTTCATAAAAGCATTCAATATAAATGTAATTAAAATCTTCAAAACTTTGACTAATTCAGTAATCTACTGTTTATCCCATCCATTTTTAATGTTTTATTAATTCAAATATTGTTTTCATTAGCTGATCAATCAATATAGTATTAATTACCTCAACCAAAATAAAATAGTATTAATTAGAATTTATTATTTTGTGTACTACTGTGAGATTATTCAATCTTTTTTAAAAGAAAAAACGTTTTATTTAATTTTATATGTATATTTTAGATAAATTTAAAAGAAGCTGTAATATATGACATTTTTTTTATCATTAACCCTGTATATAGTATATAAGTATTATTATTAATAATAGTATTTTATTAATCCTTTCAATGCATTTAAAAAGAATATTAGTAAAAAAAATGAAATTAAATGAAAAATTAAATGACTTTAACATCTTCAGATATTCAATAATTTTCAAGCGAAAAGATTATTAAGAAGATACTTTAAGGAGTTTGGAATGGTTTTAATAACTGTAAGGGTTATCACTTTCTTGTTTATTGAAAGCATAACTGATAATTAATTATATTTCAACCCAGATAATATTAGTATGTAGTATTCTTCAGTTTCTTTTCATGTGTCATTAACTGCAATTGCATATAGATTATTTATTATTCCCCAGCTCATGAACTTTGGCAATTTGGAAGAAGTTCCATTTTAAAGTTCTTTTTTGCTTTTTTTTTTTTTACCCCTTTGAATTAGTGATTAGAATTAGTGGACGGCCCCTAGAAAAAATAAAGAGACATTTTTTGTAGATCCCATGTAGCTTGTGGATCCCACAAAAAAAAAAATGTATCTTTGTCTCTCCTAGTTGTCCCTCCTAGTTTTAATATTCTCTTTTTAACAATCAGTAGATATTAAGAATATTAAAACGTTGAAAGTAAACCCAAAAACAGAAGTATATGCTTTGAAGGTAAACTATGCTAACCCCTCTTCTGCCTTGCCTTTGGTAAAAAGCTCTTTGACTGAAATATTGTTTTTAAAAGCTCTTTTAAGGATTTGTTGGCCTGGTAAACTTTACCTTTACATCCCAAAAATAACTGTCTTTGCTGGCGTAACGCGTGAACGCGCTCTCCAGTAACGGTTATTGTTGGCGAAAGAACAAAGTGTACGTATTTGTATTTATGTAAATAAAAAATGCTCTTTTTAATTGAAACCTGGAGATTAACTGCTAATGTGTTATCATTGTGATCCAATTAGTGTAATTGAGTAATCATTTGGTTGAAGTGATTTTTTTGATTTGTAATGCAGACAGGTGGACCCGACTGGGAGGTGAAGTTGGGGAGATTGGATAGCTTGAGCGCTAGTCAAGAAGACTCAAACAACATTATGCCAAGCCCAAGAGCGAATGCAAGCTATCTTATTGACCTCTTTCAGAAATTTAACCTTACCGTAAAAGACCTGGTAGCACTCTCAGGATCTCACTCTATTGGCCAAGCTCGTTGTTTTTCCATCATGTTTAGGCTATACAATCAATCTGGAACTGGAAGGCCTGACCCTGCCATTGACCCTATGTTTAGAGAAGAGCTTGACAAGCTATGCCCACTAGATGTTGACCAAAATGTGACAGGGAACCTTGATTCCACCCCTCTGCTGTTTGATAACCAATATTTCAAGGACTTGGTTGCTGGGAGGGGATTTCTTAATTCTGATCAAACACTTTTCACATTCCCCAGGACCAGGTATTTTGTGAAGTTATATAGTAAACAGCAAAGTGAGTTTTTCAAAGCCTTTGTGGAAGGGATGTTGAAAATGGGTGATTTGCAGTCTGGTCGGCCTGGGGAGGTTAGGACCAATTGCAGGGTGGTCAATGATCATGTCCTGTTTCAGTCTCAACACAAGACCGAGAATTACCATAAATCAATATAAATAAATGCATGCCATTTACGATTCATGCATTATATGGTATCCAAATTTTCAATCTATGAAACAATTTACAAAAGTATGAAACCGACATAAACGCATTGTAGCTAATTTTAGTATAAGACTTATTTCATGATTCCGTCCAGTGATATGCAAGTCTCTATCATCCTTTTTAGTTGTCATGCTTCCTAGTAACTATTTTAACATGGACTAGTTGGCATGAATAACATAAGGTCATACCCGATAACAGAGTTCAGGAAAACTTAGTGCACCGAGGGAGCTGTTGAGGGATGAAGTAGTTTGCATTTTATATGTGAATATGGTAGAACAATTCACTGTTATGCAGAGAAAAATCTCTATGTTCTGTCTTGACTACGAAGTAGCTAATTTACAGAGGAAAATAAAGTTTACATCAGTACACAGGAAAAGACTCGGAACAAAAGAAAATGCCAAGTATCATACTATCATACTACTTGTCCATATTCAGTCAACAAACCCATACTACTGGCAGTTAATAACAAAACATCTAAGTACAATACACAACAAGCTTTCCCATTACGTACCGAGTCGATTTGAAATGTGAAAGCAATTGGAAATCTTGGGATATTCAAGATATTTTCTAGTTCCTTACGGGGTTTGCCGTCAATTTCCAATTTTTGATCATTAAGATTTGTGATCAAAACAGATTAATAGTTGAAGATAGATATTACCTCTCCCTTTCCTTTTCCAAAAAAAAGTTATTGAAGTTATTCTATCTGGATTATTCCAAAAAAAAGATAGATATTGATCATTAAGATAGATATGTTAGGTTTAATTCCTTTGACTGGCTTATTTGTAACTGCATACTTATAATACCAACGAATAGTCAGTTTACTGGGGCGGCTTTCATTGGTCTTTTCCTCGTATGACAAAACTTAGATGGGATTCTATAATCTTTTCCTAAACAAGTGTAACTCTAATTTTTCCTCCAACACACTATTTATTAAATCCCCATGATGAAACAGCACCTACAAAACTCTCATCTAAGATGCTAAGTTTTAAATTTAAATTAGATTAAGAAAACGGGAAAATTAAAAAATATATATTTAATTTAAAATCTTGCTAATAGTCAGCAATTGTTTTTTTAATTTCTAGTGATAAACAATCAATTAGTCACCAATTGAGGAAATCAACATCCAGTTTGAGGAAATCTAAAAATAATTAGCCACTCTAGCTAAAAATGTAACAAAACACTTAAATATGTTGCCTCATGAAAAGTAAAAAGCATTGAATAACAATGCTCCTCCACAGTTTGAAATTCTTACCTGGATTGCTATGACCTCTCTCCCTTTGTCAGTCTGACTCACTCATTGCTCTCAGATTCCATGCCTCTCATTAATATATAGTAGGTATTTCTCTCATTCATTTGGTTGTTGATGTTTGGTTTCCTTTAGCTATGATCTCTGATTGCAGGACGCATAAAAATGAACAGTGCTAAAGATTCAGCTAATTTAAACAAAATTGTACACTCTACATGCCACTCTGCATGGGTTTTATCATCATGTACAGACAACTTACCAAGCAACACAAGCATACAACAGCAAGAAGTTGTACCTCATTTTGATGCTCATCATAGTCATGGGCCTCCTTTGTAAAGATATGCCAGTATTCTGTGCCTATAGCCCTTGATCTCTGTCAACAGTTGCAGCATCATTCACATGAGTAATTCTAGCAATACATTCTTCACTATTTGTTAAAATTTATTGAAAACAAAAAAAGTATGATAGAGAAGCATTAATTTAAGAGTGAGAAAGAAATTTTTGTAGTTTTCAATAAATTTTAACAAATAGTACAGGGTATGTTACAAAGAGTGTGTATTCAGTATGTTACTAACATTACTCCATTCACATTGCATACGATAGCAGCCTAGCACTTCCTTCCACGTCAAGCTTTCAGGACGCAGTCTTGCTTTGATGATTCCCTTCCTTGCACCTGCAGGCTTTATAACCACATTCACCAATCATTTCCTTTCCCATTTTCATCTTGGTTGACAGTTCCTGAACTGTCCATTATTTGTTCCCTCTTCCTGCACATATGCCCCCAAAACCCCAACATCACCAACAGGTCATCTCTTTCTGTAGAGGCAAGGCTCCAAGCTTTATTGACTACTGCACAGCCAATTATTTCTGGAGCCAACCCTCAAATGTCAAATGCATTGATAATTGATTGAGAAGATCAAGCAAGGGGAAGGGCGAAAATGTCATCCAATAAATAAGGGGCAAGTAGGAAAAAAAATGGAAAGGAGGGAGTGGGGGTACATGCTTGTGGCACCATCTTTCCAATCTATTGAAAACAACAAATGTATCAGAAAGTGAAAAATGCACAATCTTTTAAATCATACTAGAACGAGTTTCATCCATAAAGAAACGATAAGAATCATTCCTGATGCAAACTGGGTTTTAACCTTTACTAACTAGGAATGGTACAAGTTGGAGAAATAATAACAATACAAAAAAAAAATCATATCCGTTATGACAGAGCACCATGAAGACTGCTTAAAAGTTATGGCTGTGGAGCTTTGTACACGACGTCCCCTATCCAAGAATGATATAACATGGAGATGTAATAAAAATTAAATCTCCAGAATAACAGCTCATGAGGCATGATGAAAATAACAAGGGTACCTCAGTCAAAAATTCTCTCCCCAGTTGAAAATAGTAAGAATACGAAAGAACTAAAAATGCATAAAAATCCAGGAATGAAAAACACCGCTCTCCAGCTTTGTGGACTTGAAAGATCAGAATTAGCAGCCTTGGCAGCTTCAAGAAGTTTCCCAGTGAGGTCAACACCAACAATGCCAGCTAAGGTACCAGCGGTATTGGAAACACCCATCACAATTCCAGCATATCTCGGCGCAACGTCCATGTGGTTCACTGCAAACCCAGCTCTTCCAAGAGCCAAGAAACCAAGAGCCACCGAAGAACAGAAGATAGCACCAGCAGAAGTTCTGAAACTGGGAATCACCACCAAGGCAAGAGAAGCAACCAGAAACCCTACTGTGTTCAAGAATTTCCTTGTTTTAGTGACAGATAATATCCTCCTTGTGATCAAGTAGTCAGCAACAACACCCCCAATGTTTGAGAACAGGAACATGTTGAGATATGGCATCATTTTGGAGGATCCCATATCTTGAAGGCTAAGCTGAAGACCCAATTCAAAGTAGGTTGGGAGCCAGTTCATGAGCACATATAAAGCATAGTGAAAGGTGAAATTGTTGACAACAATGGCCCAAACGGGGAAGCTGGTTAAAATTTGGAGCCAAGGGATTTTGGCTGAAACTGGTTTTTGGTTGTGAGAGTCAACTTTTTTATTGACGGGTAGCAACGATTCCCCCACACCAGAGGCAGTGGATTTGGGATCAGTGGCGTATCTGAACCAAAGTAAAGACCACAGAGCACCCAATGCAGCCTCGGCGAAGAACACAGATTGAGGACCTCTAAATTTGACTAGACTTGGAAGAAGCAGCATTCCGAGTGCTGCACCCAAATACATACCAGAAGTGGTTAGAGAGACAGATCTGGATCTTTCGTGAGGGGGAACCCACTGTGCCAGAACTGTGTGGATGGAGGGAAATATAAAACCCTGCGCTACACCAACGAGCAAACGAGCAATGACCAAAACCATAACTCGGTTGGGATCCAGAGGAACCAATGCACATGTCAATGACCACAATACGAATGAAAGAAGCAGAACCCTTCTGCCACCAATTTTCTGTGCTGCCCATCCTCCTGGAACTTGAGAACACGCGTATCCGTAGTAGAACGTCGATAGTATTGCTCCTTTGCTCGATTGGTTCACTCCAACAGCGTCAGCAGCAACTGTGTATGCGATTGAAAACCCAACTCTTTCGATGTAGCAAACTGATGTGCATATGAAGGTCAAAATGACGATCAAGTAACGCACTGGGAGTTTCATCGTCAACGCCTTCAGGTTCCAGGTTCCTCAGATTCGAAGAGGATTTAGGTGCTACTGCAACTGCAAACTCCTGACCCAAAACGGCACCCCATCTCCTCCGTTTCGTCTACTGCCAGCCCCAGTCAAACAAATAACAACTCTTCTATAATCATAAATAATTAAATATTAAATAAACCAAAAAACTAAACCCCAGCCTGGCCACTGGCAACTGGCAACCGCCAAATGAGTTGGGGCTTTAATTTTAATTAATTTTTAAACATGGCCAGTATTGTATATAATAAAATTTATATATAATATTTTTTATTAAAAATTATAAAATTTACTGTATTAATATTATTAGATATTATATTTTTAAATAAAAAATTATTTTTTTAATTTTTAACGCATAAGTTTATATAAAAAATAAAAAAATTATTAATGTATTTTATATTAAATTAATAAATAAACCATCAATTTAGTCCTTAATATTTGCACAATTTAGTGACAATAACTAAATGTAAAAATAAATACTAATATTTTTTAATGTCAATCAAATTAGTTTTTACTCTACTAATTATTTGTTTAAAATGTTAAACGATGTAAGTTCTGGTAAAAGTTTTCATATTATTTTAATTAATTTTTTTTTTCTAAAATTATCTTAGCGCCAATTAGGATCAAAATCATTTATAGTTTTGTTGTAAACTACATGTTACATTATATTTTTTTCTTTATTAAATTTAAATTTGTTTAAATAAAATATGTAAAAATATTTTTTTAAAAACTTAAATTTTGCTTAAATAAATATTAAAAATTTTGCTTGAGCTAAAAATAAAACAAAGAAGATAGGAAAAAGAAAGTGGAAAGAGGAGAGTGAGAGAGAAGGAAAGACGCTAGACGGGAGAAAGAATGAGAAAGAAGGGAAGGGAAGGAAGAGAAGAAGAGGAGACAATATTTTTATTTAAATAAATCTAGATTTGTTTAAACGAAAATATACTCCAAATTATGCAGTTCGTACCAAAACTTAGAGAGAATTTGTTTTCTACTAACTATTTCTTCTGAATCATTATTTGCAATAGTAAAAATACTTTTAACTCTTAATACTTTCCAAGGTCATCAAAGAGTATTGTTGTAGAGTAATTAAATTAAAAAAGATTGATAAAGCAAGGAATATCAAATAAAAGTTATTTGGTTGTACAAAATAAAGGTTGTGCCTTCACAATAAGGTATATATCTATTATGTGCAAAAAATATCTATTTTTGTTGAGATTTAATATGGAATTTTATACTCATGTGGTCTCCTGTCATGAGATTAATGTTAATTAATTATTTATTTATTTACTTAATGGCAATTTCTGTTTTAGTGTCCTTGTTGATGGTCCTTGGGTGAGTTTTTTTCTTTTAATTTTATAGCATTATTAATGGACGTGTCTGTTTCCAAAAGTGTTATCCCTCCGGGACACAGAAGATTGTTACTTTAATGGTAAGACATGAATAATTAATTTACAAGAGTATGACCAATTAAATAAATAATAATAAAAAAAAAGGCTGCCAGTAGTTTTAAATATGTGAATCGTACATGCAAACTTTGTGTATATGGGTGTCGTTTAGGAAATGACATACGAACTTGCGAGTGCTGATTCAACTTCGACAGTGATAAAAACAAATCCTCTGCCATTAAAGCTTCCAGTTCCAATAGTTGAAAGCTAGGGTAAGATAGAAGAAGAGATCACTTTTTCACCCAAGCTGTCTTTCTTAAACAGCAAACAATTTCTGTTACGCTAAATCAAACCATACTTAACAGAATTCAAATCTTTTTACAGAAGAAACTTCATGATTGCTTTTATTATTTTCAACCCAGTCACAGTAATCAGGATTTCTCTGAATACACTTTGCCTGATGCCCTAAAAATGTAGTATGACATAAAACAAGGACAAAAAAATAAACAATATTAATCCAAATTTTGCAAAATCACTGTAGACTAAGCAACATACAACAAAGCCTTTACATAGAGTTGCCGTTCCTTACAACAGATGCTGCCTGGCAAGTTTTCCTGCAATCTCTCCCTTCACAATAAATGTCTCCAACCACTCAACACAGGTCGTTGCATAAAATGTACAAGCTAAGCAGTAACCCGTCACCATGATACAAGAACAATAATAGAAGTAAGCTACCCCAACAAATCCAAAAGGGGTGGCTGCTCAACATGTGACTTGGTTTGAGAGGACCGAGTGGTTGAAACCACTCCCCTCCCTCTTCCTCGTCCTCTACCGACTGTGGTTGATGGCGGTGGTGCAAGTTTAGGTGCAATCTGTTCATTCTTGTTGGAGGAAAATATCGATCCAAGATCTGTTGCCGTTGACTGAACATTATTATATGAAACATTTGATGATGGAAAAGCATTATTTTGCTTTAGGAACCCAAGAGAATTCTGAGGTTCAAGGCCACTATTCAGGCTACCAACGGTTGAGCTAGCATTCCTCGTGTTCAAACTGATAGACTCTGCAGAACTTTGGGAATTAACAGGCCAACTGTAGGTAGTTTGGGGAGCCATATTGCTTGAAGTGCTCGTCATTGAATTAAACCCAAGCTTGTTTAGCGGCATTCCTAAAGTACCATTGTTTGATATTCCAGATCCACCTGATAATGAGTTATTAGGACGTGGCGGCCAATCAGCAAAAGGATCATCAGATTCAAGATTAGATGTGGACGAAGTTCCTGCTGCTACTGTATGACTTTCAGTGTCACCAAATTGTGAGGTAACACCAAGAGATGTACGAGGCGGCCATTCTACATCTACTGAGGGACATGACTTGGTTGTCTGCTGAGTAGATAAAGCAGACAAGGACAAATGCTTTTGTAAGGATGTTACTTGACCCACAGGGTGGCTTGCCGCAGATTGACTGGTGGTATCAACAGAATTTTGGATAGAAGAGGCAGTTCCCTTTGTTCTGGGACCCCAATCTTCATCCCAAGAGGAGCTGCTTTTTGTTGAAGCAGCTACAGTGCTGCTGCTTGTCCTCAGGGCTTCAGATTGAAGGCCATTAACCATGGGAGATAGTTTTACCTCCGGGATTCCAGAATCAGTCACAGCCACTCCTCGCTTCTCTTCTATCTTACTGTACAAGACATAAATTTCAGGAAAACAATAAAATAGAACTTAGTCAGAGATCAAGGAGAGAGAGGAGCAGACAGAGAAAATGACAAAAATAAAAAGGGTGTTAAAAAATAATAACAAAAAAATTACTGAAGCATATCCTTGACAAAGAGCATATATTTGGCAAACTGTTGAACATTAAGTTGTTGAGCAGTCAGAAGAGGCATAAGCAATGGAAGAACATGCTCAGCAACAAATTCTACTCCATACTGAACAAGAGAAATCAAAAAGACTTAGGTACGACTCCAAATATTATTTAGCAACAACTTCAAATATCATTGATTGTAGCAGTCAAAACATAAAAAACTGTTGATTCATATGTCAGGCTCATCATTGCAAATATTACCTGCTTAAAAATAGAATTTGCAACCCCTAAGGTACACATAAGGGTTGGAGGAGAATGGTCAACAGCAGTACAGCGCTGAATAGTTTGCAAGATATCCAGGACAGCATGTTTATCAAGTCGGTTAACCATGTCTCCTAGGCACAGCAAAGCATTGACTCTAACCTGTCAAACCAAAGAGACAAATATAGGCAACCAGCTTTGCATATAAGGTGAAACAACCAGCACAGATGCACAACATTGTCAAACTCAAAGATCCTACCTAAGATCGGAGTGGTAGAAAAAGTAAAACATGAGACCATAACACAATGGATAAAATCCTACCAACTATATAGAATTATATTTAATAATACATTCACACAAAAAAACACAAGGAAGAACAATAAAATTACAATCACAACTAGCAATTAAGTATCTTCTAATTTAGAATGCAAATTAGATACAAGTTTCTAAGGTTATGTACAAGCTTTTGTAACAAAACAAAGGGTCCTAACCCACCAAAGACAAGCCTTACAAGAAAACAAAAGGCTTTTAACTTATCAATAATAAAACAAAGGTTTCTAAAAATGTTGAAGTTAGTTGTCACAACTTTCAACATTAATATGAGAAAAAACTCAGATTAAGTGGCAGAAACAGGAGAGCCACAAAAGCATCACTCACAGACCAGCACAGTGCAAATTTGCATACCCAAAAGCAAATTGGCACACTCAAGACAAGAATAAAACAACAGAGAAAGGTTTCATTCAAAGAATCCAACCTAGATCCGCCTACTCATATCATTCACACAAAAAGAGGCATCCATAAATCAGTGACAAATGCAGTGCTGCACATTCCAGAACCCATCCAGTACTGAAGTTTGCAGTCAAGCTTCCAAAAGCACAGCAGCAGAAAGGATTTAAAGAAGTAGAACCCACACCACTCAAGGATTTGAAGAATGCAGCTCAAACCTTACAGAAATGTTGAAAATGCATTTTGCAATAAGATATTTAACAAGAAGTCAACAACAACAGTATTGATAATGGAATTTCATGTTAAATTTTAATTACAGGAAAAATACAGAATACAAAAGAGTATGAGACGAAATTTTGAAAACAGATAATATGTACCATTTAATTAAATAAAAATCATGCACAAATAAGGATCTAATTATTTTTACTAAACTTGGGTTTGTATGCTTAAAAGACGCCAAACATATAACGTCAACCTGAGGCACTGCAAGATAAAAGTTCAAGCAAAATATTAACATACCGCGGCAACTGTTGTTTTAAGTGCTAATCCATGAACACGGGGCAAAATCACTTGTTTCACCAGCTGAAAGGAAATTAAAAAAAAAAAAGAAATATAACAAATATTTAATCTTTAACAACAAAGATTAAAAAAAGGGCAAAAGATTATCTGATTATGGGCTGAAGAAAATTAAGGCTGTATGATAATAATAAACTTATAAACCTCTAGGTGGAGATAAGCTAACAAATAAAACATTAGGGAATAGAGACTAAAACACTTTTTATTCATCTGCTTCCGGAAAAAATCGAAGAATTTCTTGGAAATCCTGCAAGAGCCAATCGTTCTTTTTTCTCTGATAGATGATCAGAACTTCATTTGAGTTCGAATCCTACTAAGAGGTCCACCAGATATCAGAAATTGTTTGTTAGGTGAGTCAATAAGATAAACCAATTCCTTTGTTCAAATTTTATCCTATAAGATGAGTTGGACAGCAAGAATTAAAATAGGATAGATTAATTTTTCCCTGCATACACTTGTTCTGATACTGTGCTACTACATTCCAGTTTTCTATCACCACAGCCACTACCATCAGCACCGCTGCAATTGCTACCCACCCCATCACAGCCCTTGTCCCCACCTGACCACCTCCACCCTGCCACCTCTACCATTGCCTTCCCCAACTTCATTGCAACCATCACTACTCCCGCCATCTACCTCACAACCATTGCTGCTGCTATCACTATTGCCATTAACCAACACAACCATCACCCCCCCCCCCAACCGAAAAAAAAAACCACTGCCACCTTTCATGAGGATAACTTTGTTATTTGTATACAATTAATATGTATATTATTATCTAGTGTGCATCAAACATTAGATAGGATAAGAGCTTATCGTGCCTGTTTCCTACTCTTGTTTTGTTACACCAAACATGCTTTGAAGTTTCAACATGGTATTAAAGCAGTATAATCCACCTTGAGTGAGTGTGTATAGATCTTTGTATATTCTCCCTTTTGATTATCTTTGAAGCCTTATTGTTTCTCCATCCTGTAAAATACTTGGGTCCTATTGGTAGTGGGAAAGAAAAAACTTTCTTGGAAAACCATAACCCTTTGGTTTTTGACCGAACTCAATCACATTGTGTAATCTATATAGCTAACATCACCTAGTAAGATTAGGTTTAGTTGTTGTTCCTTCAGGTTATGCCCCTTCACTTTTCAAGTGGCAATACTCATAGGACCAGTGGTGGCTCAACAGCCAATACCTGGGGTTGTGCTTCCTAAATGCATGCATGGATTTCTTCATGGGTTAGAGCTGTTGAACATGGGAGGCTGCAACCTAGTCTGGACACATGAAGGGTGACTTGGTCAGTGGTATTTAAGGTCAACAGCCAAGTCTGTTTGCCAGCAGTTTCCTGGCAAGGTTTGAACTTTAAAGCCAGTGCCAAGTTTTCAGGTTGGCTAGGGGTTTTGTCAGTTTATTGCATTTTCAGGTATGGTTCTTGACTTCTGACCTCTCTATGCTGGATGGGCTGTTAATCCAATTTTGATCTGCCTTCCTTTCATCTTCTAATGTTGTGACCTCCTTCTGTGGCCTTTCTTTGGTTATTCAATACCAGCTCTGATGACCTTTTTAAAGCATTTCTGAAGCATTCTTGGTTCAACATCCATCTTGCCTCATCTCTGTTAATTTTGGTTTCTTCTTCTCTTCTTATCGGTAGCATGACTATAGAAGCTTTGAGAATTTTCAGAGCTTTGGAATTATCTGGTCAGTGTTCATCTGATTCTGTTGGCTTGCAGATATAGGCTTCTTCTGTTGAGAAGGAACAATAAAATTAGCTCATCATTGCTGACTGCATTCAGGTTACCAGTGGGACCACATGTGGCTGCAATCAGAATCAGAGCGGCAAGAGAAGAGGAATTCCTGTCAATGGTGCTTGGCAGCACTTGGCCAGTGCTAATGTTTTGCTGGTCTGACTCTATTTGGTTGTGTTAAGTTTCAGAAATATTTAGTGTAGTATATGCAGAGATTACTGTTCTAGGTTTCGTTCTTTCACTGTCAAGGGCTAGCAGTTTGAAGACTTTGAACATTAGTGAAGGACCCTCATTTGTGTAATTGGGTGATATGATACCTGACTCAGTATTTGGGGACCCAAGGTCAATACTGGTAGTATGATATGGAATCGGTGTTCTGGAGACCTGATAGAGGTCATTAATAGTTGGATTTTGATACTTAGTGTCTTGAACACTGGTTTGGAGTCTGAGGATGGGCCCACCAAGGTGAAAGGTCAAAAAACCAATAAACTTATCTCATTCCCTAGGGGCTTGGCACAAGGCAAAGAAAGAAGCTTTCTTCCAAGGGCATGCAATGCCAAGATTTGTGATTCAGGGCTAGTTGCCTATGTTCTGTGGTTTTTATGGACTTAGGCATATTTATTTTTTGTTAATGGGTTTGCCTTTTCTACTTTTAACAAGCTTAAACTTAGTAAACCTAAGCTTGAGGATTAATATTAGAGTATACAGCTCACCTGTATTAGTTTTGTATTTCTGTTGTATTAGTTTTTCTCTTTTATGGCATTCGGTTTTAAGGTAGAACTAATCTCACAGATTAGTTATTAGTTAGTTACAAAATCTGTTATGACAACTGTATTTTGTCATAGAACTCAACTCCAACTATATATCTCTCTCTGTAACTGATTCAAAGTTAGCTTTGCAGAATAATATTGAAAAACTATTACCAGAGTTTATTGTTTTCTTCTCTCTCCCTTTTCTCTCTTTCTTTTCTTCATTTCTTGGATTCTTTTAATTAATGTTAGAAGATAGTGTTATTAGTTTAACTAATATTGGGCTTTGTCCAGGAATTGTACTATTAGTACTAGCACTTGACCTAATTGGTAGTATATAAGGTGCAATAAGTTAATAGTATTTGAACAAATTCTTATTATCAATCTCATAATACATTGTTAGCCTTTAAATATTGAAAGCTGAAACAATAGAACTGAGAATTGTGTGATCCCTCACCCCATGTTCATAAAGTACTTTTTTCTTTTGTCAAACAGTTCATGATGTAATAGTACTCAATTGCTGACATATGATTGTTTAAGAGAACTCAAGCCTACTCAATTATTATAATATAGCACTCACCTGGGCATCAAGTTGTTTGGCAAGGGATACAGATTTTTTCAGGACCTCTTCTTGCATACGAGCATCAGTATCATCGTAGGCCCGAACAATCATTGGAAGAACGTGCGAAACTAAATGCTCTTGACTAGTCTAAGAGTATAATAAATGGCATAAGTTGGAATAAAGATATTTATGAGAAACAGATTTTACATTCATCAAAATAATGAAACTGATACAAACTCACAATTACCTTGTTTATTATAAGCTCAGCATGCTTCACAAGTAGCAACAGTGTCTCACCAGCAGCAGTACTCAAGACAGGGACAAGGGCTGGGAGTGTTGATTGCTCAAAATCATTCTTGTCCTGAAAAATAACTAAAATTATTATTCTTTTCTCTTCATCTGGATATCACCTTGTTCTTGCACATAGGACCAAAGTGCTCTTCCTCCACTCCTTTGGTATATTCATAGATCTCAAAATCTCATTAAAGAGCTCAGTAAGCCACACAATTTCTTGCTTTCTCATGCATTTCCAAATTTTAATAGGGATACTATCAAGGTCAACCATTTTACTGTTATCCATATTCTTAAGATCTTTTCTACTTCTTCAACTTGAATTCAACAATAATATCCCAAATTTAGTTCATTCGCTTGGATTACTGTATTTTCATTTGCTCCTTGTACATCGTTAAAAAGTTTATACAGAAAAGTTTTTTCTGTTTGTCTTTGATGTCTTTGAATTCTACCTATATTGATAGAGTAGGCAAAAATTAGGGTACAATGAAATTTAAAAGTGCATCATGTGTGTGATTATACTTTCAATATAATTGTGGATTTCGTGACACTGTCACCCCACAAAAGAATATTTCTTAGTCCATGATTGATTTTGATTTACAATGCTCTCAACACCAATACTATTTTGGGTATTCTAAGGAAGTGAGGAAAAGAAAGAGATATTAGTACCTGAGACTCTGCAATAGTGAGAACCATGGGTAGAATCATCGGCTGTATCACCACATTCCTAAGTTCTGCACAAAGTGGTGGAAGGACCTGTATGGAATTTTATTTGTCCCCAATTACATTAATGAGAATAGTGAAAAATAAGTCAAAGTTCAAGAGAATTCAGAGTAAAGAAGCAAGAGCATTTAATCACATATTTGGGAAAAAGAACACAACATGGGTTAAATATACACAAAAATTTCATTGCGGAAGAACATACCTTGTATCGCAATACACGGGAATCAAAATCTTTCCACATGTCTGACAGTGCTTTTAAGAACTCTGACTTTTGCAGGTTATCTCTTTCCTGAAGGAAAAGAAGACACATTATCAAGAACCTCAAATATGAAATTTGCATGTTATCAATTCCATGATGCTAACAAGCTAAACTAAAACAATCTTACAAGCATGTGGTCAAGGAAGCGTAGAGCACGCAACCTAGTATCATTTCGAAAAAATGGTGAGCCTGCAAAAATAAGAAGCATATGCCCTGTTCAGTTTATGATGATGACTATGATCATAAAGGAGCCAAGAAATACGGTAAATGAGCTAAATAGTAATATCATGTTCAGTGGGCCATCCGAAGGCTACAACAACCAGCAGAGATAATATATCGATTGCTATTTTCAATGGTAACTGTTTGATTATGAGTAACTTAATCCTGAAGAATTATATATCTAAAATCCTAGTCAATCTTCAAGCACACCAACACCCCATATGAGTATGTCAATTTTTTAAATTCATTTATGCTCAAGTCTAAATCACTTTTAGTTCTTTTACTTTTACTCATGTTTGCATTATGCAGGTTTATGGCTCTGTCAAATGACATGCAATATTTTAGAAATGCTGATGGTGACAGTGTCTATGGGTCTTTTTTGGGTTAGTATGTCCAATTTTTTAAATTTCATCAATTCTTATGTTCAAATCTTTATTTCTTTTACTTTTATTCAAGTTCATTTTGCGTGTTTATGGCTTTTTGTCAAATGACATACAATATGTTGGCATACTGATTTGAGTCTGAGTAATTGACTCGTTTGGTTTATGTTGATGGTTTGATCTTTCTGAGCCCAAATCTGACCAAAATCAATCACTGCTCAGCCTTATTTGTCATGTTAGTTTTACAGAATCGAACTTAAACTACAACACCAATTTCCTGACCACAAAAAACACACCACAATTTTGAGTTACTCTTGTAACTTGAGATACTAAGAGTAGACCATAATAAGCTTATAAACAGGAGTTCTGATCTCATATGAATAGTCATGACTCAAGAATCATGACCCTTTTATCTTTAACAAAATGCTGCAGCTGTAGTTTTTAGGTGGGTCTCAGGCTTATCAAAATATCTTAAATGTTATTGAAGGAGGTTTGCAACCATTTTTCAATAATCAAGTAATGCTTTACCTAATCTGTGGATACACAATAACAGTAGGTAAACACTTCTATTGAAATTACAGAGTTTTGGTCAAAAGGAGGTGCTCAATAATATTCTGAATTAATGATATTAGATTGATACCATGGTTTTCATGCCCAAATTATGGCAGAGTGACCAGCACTAAAAATGCTACAGCAAGTACCGCGGGAAAAGCCACTATCTAAGATACATAACCAAAGGCCAAGAACGATACAATGGAATTGAGTTCATTGTAACTAACTGCTGACATTTGGGCCAATTATCTTATAATACTACACCCCAAAAAGTTTCATGTTGTACTGAAGGTGAATTTCAAATAAAAAAATTGTCCTTTACCAATGATCATGCAGCAACCCACTTTCACTCCTTCCTTTCATCATTTCTCCCTCAGCATATTTGAAATTGCTTAATCTTACATGTTTTCAGGACAGTTCTTTTCACCACACCCGAAACACAAGGCAATGTAACCTTTTCATGCAATTCAGCTTCTAATAGCCTTTGGAGTGCTCTTACCCTGCTGTCAAAAGTCCCATTGGTCAACTGGTTGAAGAATTCATCACTAAGCTGGCCCCACCTGGGGTTGTATACAAGTCCAAGATTCAATTTTCACATGTAACAGTTTTGGAAAATGGGCAACTCCCATTCACTAAACCACCTTCATTGTCTGAGAAACCACTTTTTTTGTTTAGTAATTAATTCTTATCATCAATTCTTCAGGCATAATCCATTACATAGTTACCAAATACATGATACAGGTATGCAGTTTGTGTAGGTACACAGTTCATTTACATTATTATTGGCCTGCTTAAAGAGAACCCAGTACATGGTACGTGGTATAGTGAATTTGGTACATGGTACACAGGGTCAATGAAAGAATTTGGTAACAACAATTCATCATCTAGTGGATGTAACTTCATGTCAGCCCTCATCACTCCCTTCAACCCGTTCAAGAAGATTCCTCCAAGAGATTATGGGTCTGTGCAACACACTCACATGGGTCCTGCATAGTGCTCAAATAGCTACCTATAATCTTCAACCAATGTGGTTTGCTTCAACCCATGAGTGAGACAACATGATCTGGAGAAATTTTCCAGACAAGTAGCTGGACAGCTGCAATAAGTGGAACAGCCCCCAGAAACTACAACAGAGTCAAAACAGAAGAACAGTGGTGGGATTACATTGCTAAATATGGTTTTGATACCATATCGTTGATATTGTAGGATTAAGGTTTTGGTGGAAAAGGTAAAGATGAAAAAGAAAGGAGGCTCACAGTAATATTCTGAATGAATGGTATTAGATTATGTTTGATGCAATATATGATACAAAGTTATGCCTATTTATACTAGTGTACTACTATTAGCATTAGTGTAGACCAATGAAACCACTAACCTAACAAGACTACTAACATAATAATAATTCTAATATTCTATGTTCTAACAACTACTAAGTGTTGTCGGTCAAGGCAGCCAACTCACAAGTCAATTGTGAAAGTGTAGAATTATTACTCGTGCCACATCTGACATGATCAAGACCTTCCTCTTCAGATCAGACACCAAAAAATTTAATGAATGAATATGCATGAAAATTTCATTCAACAAATGGAGAAAATGTATTGATTCTCCAAGCTATCCTTACCTGTAAAATCCATTGCTGTTGGCCTGAAAGACTCATTTGTAGAGAGCATCTTTTGCAAGTCAGGAACCAGTTCCGATGGGACAGATGAAAATGCATCACTGGATAAGTAATTCAAGGTATTCATGTACTGCATAAGTACAAAACCACAATTTCTTATTACCTTGTAATGAATAAAATAACATAGCCTACATTGTTGTAATCATGTGACGAATTGAAAGTAACCATTTCTTTCTTTATTTCTTCTATTGAAATATATAAAACGTATCCTCAATGAATGAAGAAGAATTTTGTAGCATGGTTATATCCAATTACACAGGTGGCATCTAGTGAAATATATTCAATCATTAATAAAAATATATTCTCTCTTTTAGAGACAAGACGCATGCAACCATCACTGAATGTCTATTTAGAAAGTTTTGGAATATTGGTAACTTTAAATCAATGTAACTTAATTAAGAATTGTTAGTGTTGACTTTGATTATTGTACTACAGTAGTATTTTAGTATTTTTACATATTGAAAACGACACACCTAGGATACAGGATACTAGCAAATATGTTGCTAACTAGTTTAGAAACACAAGATTTAATCTGGGCCACAATAAACCTCTTTTCACAAGTTGTGCCAGTTTACGATTCTTTTGTACATATGAAGCTCATTTGTTTCAACTACCATTAACCAGTATGAAAAAAGTAGAAAAAAGGATTTGGATTACCATCTTCACATTGTTGTGGCAGTCAAACAAAGGCTTGCGAGCAATTAAATGGTAGGCAAGGCATCCAAAACTGAAAATATCAGATGAGCACCCAGCTGAAGGCATGGTGCTCCTCACCAGTTCAGGAGCAGTGTAATTAAGTGATGGCTGAAGTGGCAAAACAGAGTCCTCAACATCATATTCCTGTATAGCAGTCATAGTGAAATAAGGTATATGCCATTTAAGCAAAACTTACTTTACTCCTGAGAATGAGAATAAGATACAAATATCACAAAGAAGGATTTGTCACTTAGAAAGGATAACTTTATTTTGCCTTGTTAAAAATCATCGATTAAATGCAGAAGCTACGAACACAATCAAGAAAAGCATACGTCACAAGGGAAAATCCAGAATAATCGCAACAAGATTATATAAAGGTCACTGGAAGTTATAACTTACAGCTAAAGCAGAAATTTGCGGCTAAGAAGAATTGAAGGAAGAAAAAAATAGAGATCTTGATAGAGCAGAAAACATACAACATGAATTGATTGCAAAAGAATTGCAATCTACAATATTATATGATTGGCAATATAACACTGAATTGATCAATTAGATATAAAAAAGAAGAATGGGCGTTGGATGAAAGAGTAAATTAATGACAACATTACAGTATTTAACGCATCAAATATGTCAAGTAAACAAAGTTAATACAGTAAATCATAATGTATCTAGTGATCCACTCACAGCATAATGGAAGGGTTGCAGATTAGATGAGTCACCAGAGGTCTGAGTAGCAGAAATGGCAAAACCAAATCCAGCAAGTTTCCAAGCTCCACTCAAGGTGATCAGAATGTTCTGCAAAGTATAAAATTTGCGTTCAATGAACCCAAAACCTAATAAGCATCAACTGTTATAGGTAGAATACGATACCACAGCAAAACTACCGAAGAGCAAAACATACTTAAAGATTAAATGAAGGTGACATTCAAAAACACATAGTCGCCGCTCGCTGACACAACAAAATCCCCAAAAGTAATTAACTGCTTTGTACCATTTCTAGTTAGATGCCCCTCGCAGGCATTATCATGTCAAGACTTAAGTACCACATTGACCATTTTATTTAGACTCATAGCAAATAACAATAAAAAGGGGGCCAATAATGAAGTCAAAGTAACGAAAAAGTCTGACAGGGAAAAGAGAAAAAGTGTGACCTCGGGTGATAAAGCTCGATGAATAAGATGAGCATGGTTGTGAAGAAAGTCCAAGGATTCTGCCATCTGAAGTAAACCATGTTTGACCTCCAAAAGTCCCATTTCCTGCAAAGTAAACAGAAAAACAAGAATTAGCAACGGAAGGAGTAGATCGAGTGGAACCAGTAGATGGCGGAACAAAACAACAGTGATTCACCATTCCCCTGAGATCTTTAGGAAGATTAGGAATATTGTCGACATTGCCAAGAGTATTGGCGACGGAAGCAAACAAGGGTTCGGTGACCATAGCCATGGCATTCTTGCTCTCGTCGAGGGCCTGAACGACGTGAACGATCCCAGGATGTCTGAGACGCACGAGCTTAGCCGCATCGGTGCGAACCAAATCTAAAAAGGAATCCTCAGCGGCTTTGGTGAGGCCAGCACGCATTCGGGCCTCGGAAAGAGCGCGTTTGTCTAATACCCACACACATACAACCGGGTATTGGTGCTGACGCGAGGGATCACGCGCCCTGGCCGAGTAGAGCCTCCACGCGAGGCCAGGCCCAGCAGAACCGATCTGGTGTAGAAGGTCGTAGTCTTGAAGTGGCTTGGGTCCTGTCACCTCCTGCACCGTTGTCTGCACTGTCTTCTCAATCACCGCTGCGGTCTTCGCCAATGCTTGGGTTAGGGTTTTCATATTCAGCGACATTTTCCCTCTTCTACGGCACAGCTCCAATTCAATTCACACTTCCAATTTGGATTAATGGATTTCAGATTCTGGCTGTGCCCTGATCACCGCAACTTCCACTTCTCTGTCTTTTCCCTCTTTCTCTTTCTATTTCTCCGGGTTATAAGTCATCTTCCTTCGCCCGTTCCTTTTCGTTTGGTCAATTTTCTCATCCTTCTTCCTTTAAGCTTTCATTATGCTTTTCTTTATCAAATTTACATTTACCTCTTTAAAAATAAAGAGAAAAGTCAAATAAAATCAAGTAATATTTTTTATTATTATTAAATTTAAATGAAAGTGTTCATATAAATAATTTTAAATTAGTTATAAAAATCTTTTATTTAGATAACACAATCAAATTTTAATATGGCGTGCTGATTAGTTTAATAAGAGGAAGGAATGAAATAGATTTTAACAAAGGAGAAAGAGAAAAAATGTAATTTTACTATTTTGACACTTTTTATCATCCTTTCTATTTTCAAAAATTTTATTTTATTCAAAATTTTTAAAATATTAAATAATTTGTAATTATTACATGTTAAGTTCATTTATTAATCTTCATTTCTTATATTCGCATCTTGTAGTCACCCATCTAGTTTTAACTTTTCTTTATCCATTTTCTATGTTTTGTATAGCTGAAAGTGCGTCTCCAACGTTCCTTATCATTACCATTACAATGCTTGCATTTCAACAGAGCAAATGTTAACTCCCGCTTCATGCTTCACTAAGCTTCTTTTTTTTCTTTTTTTTTCTTTTTCATGATTAGACTATATGTCAATATTTGTTTTTTATACATTAATAACTCATGAGTCTTTTAGTTGCTTGCACACTTTTTTTATGCAATATTTCATTATTCTGCACAAAATAAACATTAACAATCATTTCTTCTTTAACAAAATCATGTTTTATCTCACTTTTTTGCTTTCTTTCATTCTGTTGTTTTTTTTCTATAGAATGTGAATGTGGAAGGTTTCATATTTTTACTAAGTTGTTACAATATTTCATTAATATTGAATTTTATAACACTCGTGACTAATTTTTGTCCTATTTTTATTTTATTTATCAAAATTTGATTGTTCCATGCAACTTAGAGTCCATCTGTTCAACCATAAGTCAGTTTTCATCTCCTTTTTGTGATTCCTTTCATCATATTTTTTTCTTCAAGGTTCTACACTTTCAGATTGTTCAACACACTTATTTCTACATGTTTATAAAAAGAGAGTTATTTTATTGTTCAATAGTGCAAGTTTTAAAAAAAGTCTTGCCATTACTTTATATATATTTGCTTTTGTGAAATAATTTTACTATGGACTTTGTTTTTAATGTTTACTTCCTTATCTTTTTTCACAATAAATCCTTCAAATGCATGTAAATTCATATATGAAATTATAAGGTTTTGTATATTTAATGAACCTGATAAGGTAGTAGTACATATAAAGTTAATCATTTATTTTTCTTTAGTATAAATATGATACATTAACATCTATATTGATTAATGCACAGGGTATTAGTGAAATTAATCCCAAATAATATTAAAGATTGGTGCGCTGGAATAAAATCAATGAAAGTTAAGGGATCGTATTAATAATATCTTATCTATAAAGACTCAAAGAATTGGTAAAAAGTTATTCTTAACAAATGGGTAGAAGAATCTCTAATTTTTTTTTTATTATATGGTCCTTGTTTATGTGTGTTTAAAATTTTTCCATTACCACTTTTAATCATTTTTATAAGGAAAGATGATATGACCAATCAAGTATAAAATACATAACTTGTGAAATTGATTAGAGCCTCAAACATTAAAGTTAGAATTTTTCAATTACATTAACTCATTACAGAACTATTGAAAGCCAATTGATATTTTCTTATCCCTGCATCTTAGATTTGTGTTTTTTGTTCAACAGAATATTAATATCATTTTTAATCTGGTAAATTATACCTAAGGAGATTGTTGCAAAAATTTCTAAATGGTGCGATTCATCCTTCTCAAGGTCCAAATAAAATATCAAACGAATGCAATATTTCCTTTAATGAAAATGTAAATCATCTTATATTATTTACATAATCATATATAATAAACTTTACAAACTTTGAACATTTATTACAATGTTTAATTTATATTTTAAAAGTACATTACCCATTAAAATAAAGTAACATGATGAAGTACTTATTTACTTTGTTTTCGTATAAAATTTTTATAAATATGGTTTATTTGATAAAAATTTAAAAAAAAAACTGTTAGATTAACTAATTTTATATTTTATGAAGACTTATTAAAACTTTCAAGTTGTTTGACACTTTGTGTGAATGAATCTTGACTCATATATAAATAGATATTAAACTTTTATTGAAAAAGTAAAGAGTGTTTGACAAGTACAGTGTTAAAAGGAAGAATAAAAGATGATAAATAAATACTCAAACTTTAAATTAGAAAACTAAAAAGTCTTTAACAAGTGTTATGCTCTAAATAAAAAAAAATCTCAAACAAATATTGTACTTTAAATTAGAAATGTAAATAACGAGCTTCAATTCAAAAGGTGAAATCAAAATTATAAGAACTTATAAACGTAAAGACAATAAATATAATGAAAAAAAAAAAAACACAGAAGCGAGTAATATTGAATTTATGTGGTTGCAAATTCAAGGAACACAATAGATAAATGACCTCTAGAATGAGATAAATAGAAAGTAAGTGATATATAGTGGGAGTAATGAGCTAAAAAAAATGTCAAAACATAATAAAAAGACAATGAAAGGTGTAAAATTAAAAGCTAATGAGATAAGATAAGAAAAGACGTGTGAGCTTATAAGATTAAATAAATATAAAGATTTATAAAATATGTAAGTATAATTAATTTATCATACAACGTAAATTAAGCATTATGAGTTAAATAAAGTGACATGTTTAAAACTCGCAACTTGACCTACTAAGATTTGGTGGATTAAGTTGATAGAATTAAACTTATATTGTTATTCCTAAATTTGAAAATATTTAACTAAATTTTATTGATTCAATTGATATACTCCTATCCAGAGTTTTTTTTTTCATACTTTTTATTAAATATAATATAATTTATTTTATTTTTTAATATAAAAAATAAAATAAAATATAAACTAAAATATATAATTTTTATAAAGAAAATGCTAATGAATACTTTTAAAACATTAGTTAAGCAATTTAAAGTAAATTTTTTATTAAAAAAATGTAAAAAACACTCATCTTGTAATTTTTAATGTATTTTAATATATATTTTATAAAAAAATTATTATTTATTTTTTTCTTAAAGAATATCCTCAGCACGCTTAGTTAGCAAAATCCTTTTTATAAAGTTAGAAGTGAATAAAATATTTTTAAAATTTCCATAACTAAAATACTTTCCTAATAATTTTCGAGTTAATCGAGGGGACCAGACACAGACAGGTGCACGTGTCATGGTTTGCAGTAGTTTCCATTAACTGTTACTTGTTGGTGAGTCTCTTTTCGGGTTCTAAATGATGAAAAGTATGTTGTTGTTGAGTTCTTTGTTTCCGTTAACGGGTTCTTCTTTCCCGTGTACTATACTTGAGTGAGTATTGGCTTCAACATGGGCGCCGCCAAAGAAGAATTTCTGAGAGAGTTTGGTGAACATTATGGGTATCCCAACGGCCCCAAATCCATTGATCATATTCGAGCTACTGAATTCAAGAGATTACAAGGTCACACTCATGGTTGCTTCATCTTCTTGTGTATCAAGTTAAGAAGTTCCGCTCCGATCAACAACTGTGCGATTGTGAGTGGGTACTTCTTTTCTTTTTCGTTTTGGATTTTCCTGCTTTACCCCTTTTGCTACTCGATTTTACAGATCTCGTATACTTGGATCATGCGGGGGCAACTTTATACTCTGAACTGCAAATGGAATCAGTTTTCAATGATTTCACAACTAACGTATATGGAAATCCTCGTATCCTATTAAGATTGATGATAATCAAAGTGAATTTATGTAAATTAGTAGTTGACACTGAGTTTATGATGTGAAATTCCTTAATCTTATTACTAGATAGCCAAAGTGACTCCAGTTCTGCAACTCTTGAGATTGTGAAGAATGCCCGCCAGCAGGTACATGTAAAATTTAATTATTAAGCATCTTAACTGTCTTCTTTGTAATTAAATAATGATAAATTGAGATTTGATTCTGGGTTGATGAGTATTATATAGGGAAAATTGCTGTTGATATTTTTATGCAAACATTTGTTAATCTCTTCCCCATGGAAGATAGTATAGGAAGGAGTACTAAAGCTCAATGGGTCACTGCATGTCATTACTTTGCATGGGGTTTGCCTTGTATTGCTTTGGTTGACTTGGGTGGGCCATGTTGTTGACTTGGGTGGGCCATGTTGGCTCACCCAATTAGTTGTGTCCAATTACCAGTTAGTTGTTCAGTACAAAATTGCTATTGGTATTCCTCTTTTGTACTTTTGATATCTGTTCTAGAAATTTCTACATTTGCACTGATTATTGATATTGAACTATCCGTTGTACAGGTCCTTGACTACTGCAATGCATCTCCCAGAGACTATAAATGTATATTTACTTCTGGGGCAACTGCGGCACTGAAGCTGGTTGGAGAGGCTTTTCCATGGAGTTGTAACAGTAATTTTATGTATACAACAGAAAATCATAATAGTGTTCTTGGAATAAGAGAGTATCCTGTCTGATAAAATAATGATAAGTTATTCAATTTTATAATAATTGCCTTTGGCTCACCTCAGGAAAGTGCAGGGTAGAAGACGTAATGGTATTCTAGTGTTTATGATCATCTCACAGAGCTGTTGTAAGGAAAAGGAATGTATATTCCATGCAGTCACTGTTCAATATATTGCTGTTCAGATGATAATATGCCTTTTAAGTTTAGCTCAGCGGGGTAAATCTTAGCAATAGCATTAGGTGCCTAAATGTCATTAAGATATTTGATATTTCTTTTGGCCTTGATGTGACCGAATTCCATTTTTTTTTGAAACCATTTTTCTGTTCAGCGGGACTTGAGGACTTCACTGTTTTTATATAATTTATTTTCTAGTGATTTTTTTATACTTTTTTGAGTTTGGATTCAAAGAATGCCTTATCTCTTCAAATTTTATTTTATTTTTTTAATATAATCTTCTTTTTGCAATAACACTGCTTTAGTAAAATGTTCTTCTCACTTTCTAATAAATATAAATGTCTTTTTAATTTATTCCATTATGATTGCTCTATATTAGATGATGAATGACACCATTCTGTATACCTCCTTAACTAGTATTAGGTATGCTCTAGATCAAGGAGCAGCAGCCATTGCAGTAGATATTGAAGAAGATATACATCCTGGAATAACAGGTGAAATAATTTCTACAAAGATATCACCGCACCAGGTACAAAAGAGAGAAGTAACTGGATTGCTGGAGGGAGAGCAAACAGGTAAGTCTTAAGGCCACAGATATGTTTCTGGGCTTTAGATGATTGTCTTAGATCTGTTTGTTCAATGCAGGTGCTGCGTATAATTTGTTTGCCTTTCCCTCAGAGTGCAATTTCTCAGGGTTTAGATTTGGCCTAAACTTAGTGAAGATTATCAAGGAAGACTCAAGCAAGATATCTGGAATTTCTTCAGTTTGCCAGTAATATACATCATTATCTGTCTTATTGACTCATTATATATGGCCTTATGTCTTTTGTTCAAATAACATGGAAAAATGACTTGACTAATATTTAACAATTTGACAGTTGACACTACAGATCAGATATGTAGCTTGTATTTATGCCAAATTGATTTTTCCATGCCACTTATTACTTGCTTGTATGTCCTCATTCAAAATATTCTGTATGTTTGAAAAGAATATATGATATTAAAGTATTTAAATAAACTTTAACCTTTTGTGCAAGTATAGTTTACACTTTTTTATATGCTAGCTTCCTAAATACAAGAGGTGCAGGCAGTGCAGCAATTGAGGCTTTGGGGTTCGTGTGTACATGTGTATATTTCCATATGATACATTCCTGAACACTTCAGTGTTATAGTAATCATGGTTTCTGGGTTTGTTTTTACTGTTTTGTAGAATATCTTGATGCAACAATGAGAAGAATCCTGTACACAGGAACTTTATAATTTTACTATTTTAGTGCTTGGTAATTTTATTTTTGATAAATAAACATTCTAAGAAATCCTGAAAAATTATACCAAGAACAAATGAAAAAAAAAAAAAAACATATAACACAACATGCCAATCTCTCTGTACTGTAGATCTACCAAAGTCACTGCCCTAAGAAGACCATTAGTAGAACACCATTAGTTTTGTTTTTTACATGCTTTTCCTTTTACGTTGTTTTACATGCCCTTTCTAGTATGGTGGAGATCCCCAAAATTATGAAAGACTATCTAGATGGATTACTTTGTTTTTTTTTTTTTTACTCCACTCTGATAGGTTGTAAGACAGGTTTACATTAGGAGAAATAAAAGCTGCAATAGGGGATAATTACTGATAGGCTGTTAGTTAGGTGGGACAGTTAAGCCTATAAATAAAATGTAACAAGGGAGAATAAGGCAGGAAAAAGGTTTAAGAAAAAGACTGAAATTGGAGTGTACTAGGTCCCTTGAAAACCCAGAATTAGAAACCATATTGTATCTTCCTTTCTAAGTTCAATTTCAGTTTCTCATTGTAACTGAGTTGAAATCTTAGGTTTTATCAATAAAGAATCATTCTTTTCTGTAAACTGAGGGTACATGTCTCTATCACACTCTCTTTTTCCGTGTATTTATGTAGTGTGTGTGTGTGTGTATGGGGAGGGAGAGAGAGAGAGAGCTTTATTTATCTGTGGAAATTACTTAAAGAATCAATGATTGCATATTTCCTTATCTGCTTATGTGTTCTTTTTGGTTTTATAAGAAATGGACAATGGATGGTGTTAATTGATGCTGCAAAGGGATGTGCTACAATGCCAATTGATTTGTCTAAGTACCCTGCAGATTTTGTTGTTATCTCATTTTACAAGGTATAAGAGTATATACTTTGATTTTGTTTTGATCAAGGACTGATTTGGAAGTTGATGTTTTTTCTTCTGCATTTCTGTTAGCTGTTTGGCTATCCAACTGGGCTTGGAGCTCTCATTGTTCGAAATGGTAAGCTACTGGTTATGAACAATGGATATATTCTAGTTTTGTTCTGTCTTCATGATTCGATAATTTTCTGCACCTTGCCTGGAACTATTTTTCATTCTTTTATTTTCTTCATCAATCTCAATGCCATTTAAGTACTGGAAATTGTCTATGTTTTTATATATCACTTGATGATAATGTTTGATTAATTCATTGTTTGCTATCCTGTCCTATGCATTCTGTTGATGCATCATGTCTTGTCTCACTTTTAGCATGAAACCTGTGTCTTATGGACATTAATTTGACTCTGCAAAAGTTTGTCTGTTATTGATTATCTTTTACATTACAGATGCTGCCAAGTTACTGAAAAAGACTTATTTTAGTGGAGGTTTGTGGCTTAGTATTTACTTGCCTCTTCGTGGTTTATACTTAGTTATTTGATTGGTCAGACCCATCATAGGAACGGTTGCTGCATCAATTGCTGATATTGATTTCATTAAAAGAAGGGAAGGTATTGAGGAACTGTTTGAGGATGGAACTGTTTCATTCTTGAGCATAGTATCTCTCCGCCATGGCTTCAAAATTCTGAATTCATTAACTGTATCAGCAATATCACGGTATGCAGAATTGGATAACTATATAAAATATCCAGTTTCCTAAATGAACTAATTATCATAATATCATTTACCATTTGAAATTTTTGATAGTTGTATATTTTAGTCTTGTTGATTGAATGACTGATTTCACTTGTTGCTTATGTTTTTCAACATCTTCTCAAGAAAAAAAAAATTGACTATAATCATGAAGTATATACATAATAGATATGTCAATCAGAGTTAGCAAGTGGTAGCGTTGCTATAGTGGATATGTGATGTTTGAATTCATATCCAATGTAATGCAAGCTGTGATATTCCGGCAGTAAATTATTCAAATTAGTTACTCAAATGCTAAAATGTTTGGCAGAAAGTCTAGATTGTTTTTTACTTGCATTTCTTGTAGTAGTAATTAGCATTGAATGCAATTTATTCTAATGTTTGGTCCTTTAAGTTGTTCCAACATGATTTGCTTTGGATTTTTATGTTTTAAAGCATGCAAAATTTGTGGCCTTGTAGACATACAACATCTCTTGCCTTGTATACAAGAAAAATGCTTTTGGCCTTGAGGCATGGCAATGGATCTAGTGTGTGCATCCTCTATGGACATCATAATTCAATGGTTAGTTTGTACTCAATTTGTGATCCTATTTATAGTTTTATATGAACTAGTTATTGGTGCCTTAACAGTTGTGAGATTTATGGACATTGGTTGGTTGGTTGATCCTTTTATTTTTGGTTTCATTGAACTATTTTCTTTCTTTTTCTCTTGAAAACTGTTTTCCGTAATGAAACATAATGATAGATTTAGGACTCTTAAAACCATAGTCTTACAACATTAGTACTCAGAAACGAGGGGAGGATAAGAAACCAAAATGAACTTGAGCGAAGGAATCTTAAATGATAGGGGATCCTTGGAAGAGAGTTTCTTTTGGTTCTCCTTTACTCTGCCCTTTTTTCCTCTAGCCTGGATATATTGATCTGGTCTCTTTATCGTTAGGTTGGGGGAGAGGGGGGGGGGGGGATGTGCATTTTGTTTTTCAATTCCCAACTCTTGTTGAATACAATAACATTCTAAGTTCATTGTTGAGATCCCACATCAATTACATATATGGCCGAAGTATAACTTATAGAAATGAGACAATTTTCACCTTACTAGTTACCTTTTGGAATTTAGTTAAACCCAAAGTCCAAATTTAAGATGGTATTTGAGTCTGTTGTAGATTCAATATTCAGCCACCCTTTACTGCAAAAAATAAAAATACAAATCTGGGCCCATGGATTTTTCCAGTACAATTAACATGGCCCCTTGGATTTTTCAGTGCAATTTACCTGGTGTGCAGTCTATTTGATCCTGCAGCTTTCCTAGTGCAATTAAGAGAAAAAACCAGAAACTTAGTTGTACAATTTCTATGCTCCTAATGTCCCATCTTGAGCGTGAGAGGGTTAGATCCCACATCGATTACAGCTATTACTAAAGTAGAGCTTGTAAAGGTTAAAACAATATTTATGAGCTAGGTTTTGGAGTTGAGTTAGGGCCAAAGCCCAAATTTAAGATTCATAAACTTTGTTGGAGGTTCAAAGCTCCCTCTAAGGTTAAGTCTTTTTGTTTAGTAGCATGTAATAAATTAATAGTAATGACATATTACTAGTTCGTAGACCACACATGGCTGTAAGAATGTTGGTTGTAGATAATATCCCTATCTCTTAAACCTATGATATAGGCATTGTAATGGTATTAGGATTTGAATTGTTTCCTCTCTCCCTTTGGTGTTGGCAGTTTGTTCAATGGTTCAACCTCTCTGAATTACTCAATCTCCCTCTTGTCTGAAATCCCTAAATCCCCCTCATCTCAACCTAACCGAATCACTTGATCTCTCTCTGAGTTGACCCCTCTCTCAGATATCCTTGATGGGTTGAGAGCTCTCCGCTGGCTGCCACTGCAAATCTACTTTTGAATTCTCTCACAGGTTGCAGTAACTTCGCTGAAGCTTTCTGCTTTTTGGTTTAAATTAGACTTCTTTTAGGCATTTTATTTGAAATACATTTCATATATTTTGGGGTGGCATCTCTGTCTCTGTTTATGCTATTTTTTTTCCTTTTAATAATTACTGTTAAATATAAAATAAATATATTAAATATACAATAATATAAAATAAATATAAAAAATTTCCTTGAATTCCAGTAGTATTATTAAATGTATTAATTATATTATCATACTTTTATGTTAAAATTATGTTTATATTTTTTATAGGATCTTATGATTCATGCATTATTTATGATTTCCAATCCTTAGTAATATCTCGAATTTGTCAACCTTGCTCCAAATGTCCTCCAGTCTTGGGTGTATGGTGGGTCTGTTAAGATGTCCCATAGTAGCTTGAAATGTGGTTAAAGAAATCATTATAATACTTCTCCAATCATCCCATAGTTGAGCTAGCTTTTGGGCTTAAGCCTAGTCTATTTATTTATAATAGTTTTTTTTAAAACTACTATTTCTGAATTTTGAGAAAAACACTAAATTTTCTCTTTTAGGGGTTTATATACTTTTGCTAAAAAATTTGTCTAGTTATCAGGAAACTTTTTAAACACATTTTTAATTAAAAAAGAGCATTATTTTTTCTTAAGCAAAATACTATGAAAGTCGCTTAAATGTTCTAACATTTTGGGGGTATATGAAAAATGACAAGGAGACAGTGACTTGTTTTCATTTACCTATGAAGCAGAATCAAATCTATCATCCATGTATATATTAAAGAGTTATTTCACATTTGGAAGAGCTAGTTCCTTGATTGGTTTTTTATATTTAGTCCAATTTATCTACTGAAGTTTGGTCGACTAAAGTTTTATTGATCACTTTTGTGCCCAAATTAGAATTTTTAGATTACCCTGCATGCTACTTGAATATTATTTTGTATACCATAACTTTTAGTTACATGTGTTGGAATTAGTTAGAGCAGTTAGTACAACATTTGAAAACAATAGGAGCCTAGGAAATGACATACTTACTTTTTGTTGTTATTGTAAAAAAAAGGGTATTTACTGCACACACAAACATACCGATGTGCGAAAGCATATACAGGCAGCGATAGGTTACTCAAGCAATGCCATTTATTCTCCTACTCTATTACCATCTTTATGAACTTGGAACTGGTTTATTATGTTTTTATTTTCATCCAGGAATTGTGTGAGGAAATGGGTCCAATAGTTTCATTCAACTTGAAAAGGCCAGATGGCTCTTGGTATGGGTACCATGAAGTTGAAAAGCTAGCATCACTTTCAGGAATTCAGCTAAGGGTATAAATTATGGCTTTTTTCATGTTGAATTTTTCTATTGGTAATTTGATGAGGTCATCTTGGTAAAATATTTATTCATTTGTACTTTTGCCATACTTCTGCATTAAAGTTGTTGATTAGATGCTGATTTTATATTTTTATATTTGCTATATGTTTAGACAGGATGCTTCTGCAATCCTGGTGCATGTGCAAAATACCTTGGCTTGTCTCATTTGGATCTTATTTCAAATACTGAGGTATTTCCATAGGTGCTAACAAATGACTTATGTTGGTTTATCTATGTTATGCGTGTATAACATAAACAATGATAATGATAATTCTGTATTTAGGCTGGTCATGTTTGTTGGGATGATCATGATATAATCAATGGTAAACCTATTGGAGCTGTAAGAGTATCCTTTGGCTACATGTCAACATATGAAGATGCCAAGGTTTGAAATCTTGGGACCATTTTGCATTTTTATTTAAATTTTCAAACCATTTCAAGAAATCTTCTGGTTCTTGCTTCATTTTTCTTCTATTCATGAGTAACCAATACTTTCTTAATATAGAACACGGGCATCATATTTAGTTAAAACAAGGTTAAATTAATTTCTAGGTCCCTCAACTATTTGAAAATTTTTAAATGAGTTCCTACACTTCAAAAGTTTGTGTCCCTAAACTTTTAAATCATTCTTTAATTGTGACCCAGGCCATATTTTTGTTAGGATTCCCTTAAATGGAGGGACCTAATTAAAAGTTTTCAAATAGTTTGGGGACTTAAATGAATAATACTTGAAATTTTGAATTTTATATTTATATGCATTATAATTTATGTGTATCTATAGAAGTCTAATTTTAATATTTATATGAGAGAATATCCTAGAATATCTTTTAATAATTACATAGATAATGACAAATAATTACAAGGATAATGTCAATAAATAAGTACAATAAATCATAATAATTATGAGATATTCTCAATACCCCTTTTCAATCTAGTGAATATATTTATCATTTGCAAAGTGCATGAAAGATCTCGAAATCACATAGCTATCAATCCCGAGGTGAACATATTTGATAGTTGATATTTGGGAGGGACATAAGTGACAACTAAGAGACCACTATCTAGTAACTCTTTAATGAAGTGCCGATCAATCTTCAAATGTTTTGTCCTATTATGTTGGACAAGTTATGAGCTATGTTGATGGCAGACTTGTTATCACACAACACTTTTGTGGAACCAGTGAATTTTAATTTGAGGTTGTTCATCCATAGAAGTTCACACACTCCTTGAGCCATAATCTAGAATTCAGCTTCAGCACTTGATTTGGCCACAACATTTTGTTTTTTGCTCTTCCATGTTACTAGATTTCCTCCTAGAAAAACAATATCCTGAAGTAAATCTTCTATATACAATAAAACCTGTATAGTAAATATTTGTATATATCTCAAAGGAGACTCCTCCCTTTTAAAGAGAGTGTGTCGTCTAGGACTTCCTTTCAGATACTGGAGAATCTTGTTTGCTGCATGTAAATGTCTTTTATGTAGATCATGTATGAATTGGTTGACAATGCTAATGGCATATGCATTGTTGGGTCTAGTAATGTATCCTAAGTACAACATAGCTTGAGTAAATCTCATGAACCAAGCACAAGGAGACTGCTTGCACTTATATAGAGCTTTTTTCAATCTACACACTTTGTTTCCACGATAATGGTACCGAACCTTGGGGGAATATCCATATATAGTTCTTCTAAGTCTCCAAGAATACATTTTTTACATTAAACTGATACAAGCTCTAACTAAAGTATACTGCTAATGAAAGGATAGTTCTAACAAAATTAGCTTGAGTAAATCTCATGAACCAAGCACAAGGAGACTGCTTGAGCCTATATAGAGCTTTCTTCAGTCTACACACTTTGTTTACATGATCAATGGTGCCGAACCTTGAGGGAATATCCATATATAGTTCTTCTAAGTCTCCATGCAAGAATACATTTTTTACATCAAACTGACACAAGCTCTAACTAAAGTATACTACTAATGAAAGGATAGTTCTAACAATATTCATTTTTGTCACTGGTGCAAATGCCTCCTCATAGTCAATTCCATAACTCTAAGTGTATCCTTTTGCAACTAATCTTGCCTTGTATAGATTAAGGGTACCATTTGATCGATATTTAATTGTGTAGACCCACTTGCAACCCTCTATTTTCTTGTCCTTTGGTTGTTGTATATTGTCCCAAGTGGTATTCCTTTCCAATGCGCTCATCTCTTCGTTTAGGGCTTGAACTCAGTTCTTATCCTTTAAGGCTTCTTATACTGACTTAGGGATATTTAAAGAATCAATAGCAAATATAAAACTCTGATACTGCACAGATAGATGTTTAGTAGATATAAATTGAGAAATATGATACCTGATGCAAGAATATTTTTCCTTTCACAAAGCAATGGGAAAATTATCTAGGTTATGCTCACAATTGTTTAAAGAAACATCTAATGACTCAGGATTAGTGGTACTAGAACTTACCTTTGGTTTGATTGACTAAAGTTGTTGTTGGATCAGTCGGTTTTTCTTCTCCTTTGATAAACCAAGATAGGTGTAATTGTTTTTGTTGGCACTAAGTCACTTTCTTCTTTGCTTGAGTCAGCAAGGAAGAATAAATTCCTACAAATGACAGGGGTTAAGAGGAAGAAAAAGCAAAGATTTGTGAGAACCAACAAACTCAACTTCGTGATGGCTCTCCCCTTGAAGTTGAGGATGAGAGTAAAATGACTTTGTTTCATTATTGGTGACATCCATGGAAACGTAGATCCGATGACTCAAAGGATGAGAACAATTATAGCCCTTTTATTTGGAGTATATACTATGAAAATACACTTAATAGCACGAGGATCTAACTTGCCATGATGTTAATTTTGAACATGAACCAAGGTAGTACAACCAAAGACACAGATCAGAAGGTTGTTCTAGATAGGAACAAAATAATGAAAGGTAGACATGCACTATATAGGACTAGAGTCATTCAAAATGCAACTGGGTAACCTATTGGTTAAGTAAGTAACTGTTAAAACTGCTTCTCCCCAACATGATTTTGACACTATCATCCAAAATAGAAAAACTCTAGTAACTTCCAAGAGATGTTGATTTTTTTCTTTTTGCTACTCCATTTTATTGAGGATTATGTACATGTCAACTCATGAAATACTCATTTTTCTTATAGAAATTGAGACAATTTTTTTTTTTACATATTCTCATCCGTTATTTGTCCGTAAGCATTTAAGGACATTGTTCTTATCATGCAACTTGAAGCATGTATCCTTGGTATGACCCGTCTTCCTGCAACAAGTACAACAATGATATTCTTTACTAGGTTTTCCATAGAACTTACTAGATGATCCAACCTTAGGTGACTTTCTTGAAGGTGCTAGTGCTGAACCCCTCCATGTTCTTTTCTTCCAGCATTACAGCCCTGCAATTTTCCTCATCTTGAGCAGTATGATAAACTTCTGACAGAGAAGGGAGGTCTTCTTTCCCCAGAACCTGAACTTGAATAGGGCCGTACTCAGAATTTAGGCCAAAAAGAAATTTAAAATTCATCTTCAGGTTTTGATTCTGGTCCAGTTCAATCCCAACTCCATTTAGAATTCCATATACTTTATCAACAGAGAGAGACCTATGCTTGATGTTAAAAATTTCGTTTTCCAATTCATAAAAAGCAACATCTTGCCTCTTGGAATAGGTCTAGCTCAGGTTATACCAAATTTCTTGAGCGTTAGAAAAGAACATGCTCTTCCCTCTAATTTTTGGAGTCATAGAGTGCCACAACTAGGTCATTATACATGAATCTTCATCATCCAAGTCTCAAACTTCGGATCATCCTTACTTGGAGCCTCTCCTTCTTCAATATTATTCAACTTCTTACGCTTCTTGAGCTCATTGAAGATAGTTCCAACCATCAAGATGATATGATCTCTGCAATATGGAAGGTCATTGGGCCTAAGGGAGGCAATAGTCTAAGTAACAGGGTCTTTGTTCAGCCATGGCGACAAAAAAATATACATATCAACAGAGAACATGTAGGGTTTGAAGGAACGACATCTGAACATTTTCACTTTGGGCAGAAAATGATCTCAATCAATAGAGTATGGTGTGGAGGCATGTGGAGGCTCCGTTAGGAACTAAATTTTAGGGTTTGGCTGGTCTTGGCCTTTGGATAGTGTGGTTGCTGGAGTTGATTGGTGGTCTGGCAGCAGCAACAGTGACGATGACAGTGGCAGGGGCTTTTGGTGACTGAGATAGAGGAAAGAAACAAAGAGAGCCTAAGCAGAATGAAGGTGAAGATGTATGCTGTAATGGAGACAACTGCTAGGGTTTGGGTGTCGTGAAGAAGGTGGCTAGGGTTTGATGTGCAGAAGCAATGACCACAGGATTGGAGACTCTGATACTAACTTGAAATTATGAATTCTATTATATTCATATGTGTTATAAGTTAAATGTATATATGAGTTTAATCCTAATATTTACATGAGATAATGTTAATAAATAAGTACAATAAATAAGTAATAATTATGAGAGATTCTGAACAATAATTTATTGACCTAATGCCTGAATTGTTTGAAAATTTTCAATTAGGTTCTTGTATATATCGGAATCTTAAGAAAGAGATTCAATTAAAAATGATTTAAAAGTTGATGGACTTAGTTACAAACTTTAAAAGTATAGAGACCTAGTTACAAATTCTCATACAGTGCAGTTCAAGGACATATAGATTAATTTAACCTTAAAACAGAAGAGTATTAGAAACTATTTTATCATGAATTGCTCTGCATATTAAGTGTAATCTCAAGATTTTTTGTTATCTTTTCCACAAATCTAATTCTATTATTTTTTAAATCTTTTGATTTTCAGAAATTTGTTGATTTTGTTGCGAGTTCCTTCATCTCACCTCTAGATCACATTGACTATGGGAATCAATTGAAAGGTCCACTCCCTTTTCTAACATTAAATTACATGTATATATCCTTTCAAATTTTCAATGACTAGGAGTCGTATTTTTTTTTTTTGTTTTGTATTTATGCTCCTGTCCTTCTGGCCTATTAAGGCATAAATAGATTTGCTATGCAAATAAAATGCATGCTGTAATGCAGCAACAGTAGGTTTGCTTAACATTTGTTAATGTGATAATCTTACTAGTAAATTTCTGTCAATTTCTTCTAATAATATATTTAGGGGGTTTGCTGAAATGATATCTGTTTTTTATTTTTCTTTTATGCATGTTAGTGTTTCTTGTGTTTTCGGGAGAATCATATTGACTGATTATTTTCTCTGAATATATTTTATCAAAAGAATACAAAGAAAATGCCAATCATATTTTCTGCTAAGCAGTACCCTACCTTCGTACTTGCTGTGATGCTACATTAAACTGTGAGTGAAACTTTGTTTGGTAATGGTCAAAGCTGAGATGAAGCAAATATTAAGCACCATTCATCAGCTTCCTTTTCACTTGGAGGAACATCAGAGAGATGAATCAGCATGTCCATAATTCAAACTGTTAATATGTCCCACATTGGTTAGAAATAGAGCCAGTATATTTTTTATAAGGGTTAGGGTAGTCTTCTTGTGAGCTAGGGAGTGAGTTAAGCCCAAGTTTTTTAACATGATTTCAAAGCCTGTCTAGTTTGAATGTTGGGTTATACCCACAGATGTTCAGTCCTGTTGGGTTTCACCTGTGCAGATGTTTAGTCCTGCAAATGTTACACGCTAAATATAGGAATAGAGCCAGTATACTCCTAGCTTTTGGGAGTGAGTTAGGCTCAAATTTTTTAATACAAACAATGCTTAAAAGTCAAATAGCTGTCACCAACGTAGGTAGTCACAATATGATTAGTGGCTTTGTAGGTAGTAATGATCTTGGTTGGAGACAGCATCAATCTTGGTGATTCCGTGAGTTCTATTTAGGTTCTCTCCAACATTTTCTGCTGTGTAATCTTGTAAACTTCAAAGATAGTTGCACTTACCAAAGACAACCACCAAAAACCAGGCACAGAAGAAAACCAACGAAGGACCCTAAGAAAGTAGACAATTGAAAGAAAGACACACCACATGGCTCCAAACTGACAAGTGAATGTACCAAATCATATAGAACCACTGGGAACATGTTAAGTAGGAATAAATCTTTATTAGAATGTGACACATCATTGGAAAACCGCCCTGTAACAGTCAAGAAATTAGGAAGCCAAACAGCCATAAATCAGCCAAAAGCAATCCAGAACAGCCATTGTAGGCAAAAAAATCATTACCACAAGTCATTTAAACTGCCAGCAAGATCATATCTCACCAGAACCTCCACTCTAACCCTTATTATCCGTTTCCTCCCTCTCTTATGCCATCTTATTACTACCCCTCCTCTTCTCCTCAATTTTGGCCTCCTTTGCCCAGTCCCTAGGCCAATGTTGCAAGTGCTTCCTCTGCCACTTCAAATTGCTGGTACCCTGATTCTAGTGCATCTCACCATGTCACTAATGCTTCTCGCAACATTCATCAAGTCACTCCATTTGAAGGCCCTGATCAAATCACCATTGGTGACAGTACAGGTCTAGACATTAAATCTTCAAGTGTCACTGCCTTTTCTTTCCCTTTTAATAAATTTGTTTCTCTCTCTCTTAATAATTTGTTTGTTTCTTCTATCACCAATAATTTGGTAAGTGTCAGTCAATTTTGCAAAGATAATTCTGTGTTTTTTGAATTTCATCCTTTTTTCTATGTTGTCAAATCTCAAGTTTATAAGGAGGTGCTTCTTCAAGGCACATTGGGGCTCGATGTCCTTTATCATTTTCCTAACCTACTTCAGTCTTTCAAGAAGTCTCCTTCCACATCTGCTTTTCTGCATTATACTAATAATTCTGTTGTTTCTCGTTTTGTTTCACATTCCTCCATTATAAATATTGTATCTATCAATAGTAATTCATACACTCTTTGGCATTCCAGACTAGGTCATCCTAGTACTGAAGTACTTAAAAATGTTCTCAAATTGTGTAATGTTTCTTCCATTAATAAATCGGATCTTACTTTATGTTCTCATTGTTGTCTTGCTAAATTCCATGAACTGCCATCCTTCCCTTCTACATTTGTACATACTGATCTTTGGAGCCCAGCTCCCTATGTTTCAGAATGTGGATATAGGTATTATATTACGTTTGCCATATAGGGTGAGGTTCCTTTCCAAAAATAATTTCACAAGCTACCAAATTACAAGTTTCTTAAGGCTTTCGGTTTTGAGCTTACAAATAAAATTCTGGTCTGCAAACTCCGCATGACCCTTTATGGCCTCAAACAAGCCCCATGGGCTTGGTATGACAAACTAAAAAGCACCTTTCTTCTCTATGGTTTCCAATTCAGCAAGTGTGATCCCTCTCTCATAATCTTTAAAGACACCTCTATTGTGGTTTACATGCTGATTTATGTTGATGACATCATTGTTACTGGTAACAATTTTGCCTTCATTCGCTCTCGCGTTTCAAAGTTAAATTTGGAGTTTTCTCTCAAAGATTAAGGTGATCTTGATTCTTGACTATTTTTTGAGAATTGAAGTCAGCCGTCACTCCAATAATTTTCTTCTACTCTCTCAATCTAAATATATTTGTGATTTATTGACTAAGACTAATAAGGCTGAGGCAAATGCTATCTCTTTACCTATGGTTGGTGGCTGTAAATTATCCAAAACTGGTGCTGAAGATTTTTCTGATCCTACTCTATATTGCTCTATTGTTGGTGCCCTACAATATGCTACTATTACAATTCTATCAACAAAGTTTGTCAATTCATGAGTGCTTCTAAGGAACCACATTGGCAAGCCGTTAAACGTATTCTGCGATACCTTAAAGGCACTATTTAGTTTGGTTTGTTCTTCCAGCTGAATTTTTTCGCCTCTCACTATTTTGTTCATGCTTACTGTGATGTTGATTGGGCCTCAAATCCGAATGACAGACGTTTTACGTCTGGTGCTGCCATATTTTTTGGACTAAATTTAGTCTCCTAGTGGACTAAAAAGCAATTTGTTGTTGCTTGCTCTAGTAAAAAAAGTCTCTTGGATTTAGTCTCTCCTCTTTGAACCTCAAGTCTCCTATGCTCCTCCTGTCCTCTTTTGTGACAATCAAAGCACTGTTAGTCTTGCTTACAACCCTATTCTCCAGTCTAGAACGAAGCATATTGAACTTGATTTATACTTTGTTCACGAGAACGTCATTTCCAAGCAAGTTAAGGTCGTCCATGTGCTTGCTCTTGATCAAAGAGCTGACTCTATCTCCCTTGACTTTCACCTTTTGCAGGTTCAAGCTCAGAGTCCTTGACAGACTCTCTACCAACCCCTCTTGATCTTGCGGAAGGATATTAGAGTTTACAACTCTGTTGTATTAAACTTCGTATCAGTTTTTCTGTTTTTATTAGTTAGTTACAGAATCTGTTAGCTTTCAGTTTTGTATCATTATATACATCTCTGTAACAGTCCAAAAATGTGGTTATCAATACAATAAAAAACTCCTAATAGAGTTTCTTTCTTTCTCTACATTTTCTTCCATTCTTTTCTTCCTACCTTACACTCTTTTAATTTGGCGTGTTAGACAGTCTTCAGTTTATCCATCCTGAACTATCACTTCCAGCGATGACTATAGCATTTATACACAGACATAATAATCATAAGCACCTATGCCTCAAAGGCTCAAACTAATTTTCTAAATGACTTTCCTAAACTGAACTATGCTTGTGAAAATTGAAGATCATACCATATCACTACATACAGATTAGCTATCCTGGATCCATAGAGAGAGAAGTCAATTGTAAGATTTAAGCTGGGTGGATGACAAAAGGCAATGCTTAAGGTGTTATGTGTGATAATGATTTATCCCTTAATCTAAAGAGTTATCCCTTGGTTTGGTGATGGTTCCTGTATTAAAATTTGGAAGGACCCTTGGATGGGAAATGTTCCTCTTTCTTGTGCTTTTCGTAGACCTTTTCATCTTTCTAATTTTCAAAATTCTACTTAATTCAGTTCTATTCTTTGTATGATTCTATTGTTTCCTGGAGTTTTAGCTTTTTCTGAAATTTGCATGATAGGGAATTCTAGTCTCTTTTGACAGAGTCTGAGTAAAACCAGTAAAAAATTCAGAATTTAATGGTTTCCTTGGAGAATTGGTTATGGACAAAACACAATGGCATCTTTTGATTTATGTAGACAACCTCACCTAGTGAGAGAAGTCTTCGGTTGTTGTATATATAGAGTTTTTAAGTTGCATGCCTTTCCATACTCGCCCTGGTGGCTGAATCTTTGTATGTTTCCTCTTCCCGAAGGCTCCCTCAATATGCCTTCTTGATTAAAAAAGAGATCCGAGGACAAAAACCTTCCATACAGAATTTCAATGCATAGAGCTATATGTTATGCTCAAAATTTTATTTTATTTTTCTAATCATTGTTTAACTGCTCAACTTTTGTACTGCTGTTGTGGCATAAATAATCCTGGATTATACAATTAAAAAAACTTAAAATATATAGTTAAAAGGTACATAGCACATTTTACTTTCAATGTTGGGTCTTACTGAAAACATTGTATAATTCTGTTTTTATTCATTTAAATGGACATTCACTCAGTTAACAATTACCTGCAGGCCTTGAGAGTTTCATGGAAACTGGTTATTATCTCAAATCAATTACAATATATCCAATAAAATCTTGTGGAGGTTTTAGTGCACGAAGTTGGCCTCTTAGCATCAACGGTAATCATTTATTTTCTGATTATACACAGACACACAGACACACACAGAGGGAGGAGTTATCTATAATTTATTCAACTTCTGTAATACGACAGTAAGAGTGAGGACAGAGGAGGGAGGACAGCCATACCCGTGGGAGACTGTTGAAGAAATTGTAGTGTTTAGGTGTAGGACGAAAAACAATACTCTGAATTATAAAACTTTATTGATATTTGTCAAAATCAGGGCTATTTTAAGAATGTATTTATTAGGATCTGTATTTTAGCTGTAATTCAGAAAATCCCCCCAAAATAGGGAGACATTTTATTCCCTATTTAGTGCTAGAATCTCTGTATATATTTTACTTAATTGATCAATGAAATATTAAATTCAAATCCTAAAAATCCTTATCTTCAGGGGGAGAGACTTAAGGAAGATAAGGAAATTCATCTTGGGTTACCCAATTTTCCTGATTTGATAGTTGAACCTAAGCCAGGTCTTCTTGAACCTGAACCTCAAACTGACCCAAATCAACTATCTACATACTCTTTGGAAGATGAATCAGAGTGAAACCCCAACCAGACAGAACCTGGCATTGACGCAAGATTTGGAAAAAATCTAGTTTTGCCCCAGGAAGCAAAAGGCCATTCCAGAATCTATACAGGTCCAAGAGTCCAACTCAACTAATGCAATTGAGGTAACTAATTTCTAATTTTCCAGCTTTACAACTTGAAATTGAGAGTCAAACTGTTGAAGATGACCTAGACCTCCCAATTGCCATATGAAAAGGCACCAGGAAATGTACCAACGAACCCCTATATCCTCTATCTCAAATTAATTCTCATTTTAAAATTTCTCACCTACTCACAAAACTTTCCTTGCAAACTTGAACAATACCACCATACCTCCTACCCTACATGAGGTATTGAATGATAGAAATTGGAAGCAAGCCATGGATTTGGAGATAGAGGCATTGGAGAAAAATAAAACTTTGGAATTAGTGACTATACCAGTGGGAAAAAAACAGTTGGGTGTAAGTGGGTATATACAGTGAAATATAGGGCTGATGGGTTGTTGAGAGGTACAAAACAAGCCTAGTTGCCAAGGGGGTCACCTAAACCTATGGAATCGATTATTCAGATTTCAGATACCTTTGCTCCAGTTGGTAAGATGAATATAATTCAAAGTAATACTATCTCTTGCCAATTGGGTTGGGACTTGCAGCAATTTTATGTAAAGAACCCCTTCCTACAGGGGGAGCTTTAGGAGGATATGGTGAAAATGTTGTTGCCAATACAGTGTGAGAGCTATAAAAGGCCTGAAGTGGCACATTCATTGAAAGGGATCTTTTTGTCTCAGCAGAAATATGTTATTGATTTGCTCAAGGAAACAGGGAAGAGAGCCTGTAAGCAGGCCTGAAGTGGCATAACTAGGACTGATGCAAAGCTCTTCATACCATGTTAAGAATCAGATAATTCCACGATAGGAAGAGAGAAAATGAAACTAAGAATCTGAAATTTATTCAAAACTGATGAGTGTTACAATGATTTCAGTATTCTTTGCATTAGAAAGAAAGACCTAATCTGATCTAGTCAGATTTTTGTGACCAAGTTACTGAAGTTATAACTGCTAAGATGGGGAAGAGTATATTTAAACATTGAATTACTCGTCTGATGCAATAGGAATACAGTTCTGATCTAATACCTTCTAAAGTAGATACACTAGCACTTGACCTTGTGCTAAATTAGAAGAACGAAGGTGGCAAGGATAAAACTCTTACCCATTGGTTGATAGAGGTTTTGATACTGTGAACATCTCTCTTGAGAGCTTAAGCTATTTGGTGCAGGCTCATGATAGGTTTTATGTCCAACAATTTTTGTTTCTCACACTTCAAAATCTTCTTTACTCTCTAGTGTCTCAACTACTAAACTATGAATATTATTTACTTCATGAGAATATGTTCTGAATGTTGTTCTACAAAGTGAGTTCAATGCTGGGGTTTGGATTGGATACTGTTTATAACATAGACCATCACTTGGTCCAATTTTGTTCTGTTTATCACATCTTCAGTCATAAATGATTGTCCTATTCTCTTTAGATAGGGCTTTTGTCTTACATATTTCTTGTTTCTGATTTTTCATCCAATTCAGTGAACTGATCATCTTTTCTTCTTTAAAATTTGTGAAGGTCTTAAGCATGATCGCCAATGGATTCTTAAAAGCTTAACTGGTGAAGTACTCACACAGAAAAAGGTAATCAGTTATAGGACTTGAGTTCTTAAATTTAGATCATCGGTGGATTGAGGATACATCAAGTACTGGATCTTTTCTTCCTAGTCTGTTTTGGTTGTTTCAGTTTGGTTGAGTTTATGTTTTTTCTTGAAAAGTTTTGATCAATTGTAAGTGAATTTATATCTGTTGAGAATATTTGTATTTCCATTATTAACATAATTACCTTCTTTCCTTTTATATAGAAATCTGATTGATTATGTAAATAATGTAATTAGGATTCTGCTGTAATTACTTAGTCAATCCCTATAATCAAGGGATTTAGTTTGTACAGATTTATTACTATAAGTATTGCTGAATGACAAGATGAGACTAAGTTTTTACCCTAATTATTTTTCTGTCTCAAGTATATCAATAATACTCTTTTCTTATGGGAGTTAATTTATGGCATGTAACAGAAAACATGGATTGAAATAGAGGAACCAAATTGAAGGGTTGATTAGGTATTCAAGACTTCAGAAACCTCTTTGAATTCAAACTGTTGATTGTATTGGAGATGAATGAAAGGTTGAATGAATGTTTGATCATGTACATAGAATGATGATATTTAGTAATATTTTTTGGAATTTGTAATCTCTTATTTGATTTTACTACTGAATATATTCTAATTTGTCAGGCTAGTATGTAGATACCCAAAATTTAGGAAATTGCTCTTTATGATGCAGATATCATGTTAGGCATTTTTTGTGATTTCCTTTCTTTTTTATTTCCCTCCTATAAGAGAGATTGTAATTTGTACTCCTGTACTCCACTACCATTATTCAATAATATTATTTTCCAAGTTGGTATCAGACCAGAAAGAATTCTGCTCTGCCAGCCCTACTCTGTCCAGGGCCAGGCATGCCTAGTGACACTCAATACAATGCCTCTTCTAGCATGGACAACTCCCATTCAGAACCAGATCCATCCCAGACCCATAGTTCTGAACCCAAGATGACTTTGGGTGATTTCCACTCGGTTCAAATCACAATGATTTTACCTAAATGCAGCAAACTACTTCTGCTGGTCCCAGATAGTCTGCACGTATATGCGTAGCAGAGGTAGAATTGGCTATTTGATTGGTAATACTAATCCACCAGCGAAGAACATCCCTTAATATACTGTTTGGGATGCCAAAATCTCCATGATCATGACATGGTTAATCAACTCCATGAAAGAACATCCAGTTTGCCACATATGTATGCTCTTCTAGGACCCCATATCGATTTTGTCAGCATATCTTTCAGTTGACCCACAAAGGAAGTCTTGATGATATCAGAGAGGATCTTTTCTCTAATAAAATGACAATTAACTTCTTTCATGCACTATTGGATTATTGGAAAGATAAAAGGCTGATTGATTATCACAAGCAAACTCCATAGGACCTATCTCATAAAACTAACTCTTAAAGTGAGTATATTTTAGGCACAAGATTTCACAGGTAGTATGAGCCAAAGCATGATACTTTGCTTTTGTACTTGATCTTGCACAAGCAGTTTGTTTCTTCCTCTTTCATGAAATTTAGTTTCCTCCAATAGTAACACAGTTACTTATAGGGAACCTCCTATCACTTGTCCAATCTGCATTTGTGTATCCAATGATAATATGACCCTATCCATGTGAACAAGCCCTTTACCAGTTGATCCTTTGATATATCTTAGGATAAGAACATCTGCATTCCTACGATTTAAAGATGGTGAGTTAAGAAATTGACACTCGACACTAATTGGAAGGAAATATCTGGCCTGGTCACAGTGAGATAATTTAGTTTTTTCCCCTAATCTTCTGTATTTGGTTGAATCAGAATAGGGCTACCCCTGATTAGGCAAAACCTTCACATTTGGATTCATAGGTGTAACTATCAACAGGTTTACAATCAAGTATCACTATCTCTTCAAAACTATCAACAACATACTTTCTTTGAGAAATATCAATACCTGACTATGACTGGACCACTTCAATCCCAAGGAAATATCTTATCTGACTCCCATCTTTGGTTTGGAAATGCTTGAACAGGTGTTTTTCAATTTGTTAATACCTTCTTGGTCATTACCTGTGATGACAACATCATTTATGTACACAAGAAGATAAATAAATTTGTCTTGTGGTGAGTTTTTAAAGAACTCAAATGATCTATTTCTCAACTAGTTATTCCAAACTGTTGGGTAACATCACTAAATTTTCCAAACCAATTCAAGGTAACTGTTTTAAGCAATATAAAGTTTTCTGTAGTTTGCATATAAGACTTGACTCCCTCTGAGCAACAAATCTTGGTGGTTTCTCCATATAAATTTCCTCCTCTTAGACACCATGCAAGAAAACATTTTTTATATCTAATGGATGCAAGGAACAATGTTGCATGGCATTGCTTGATAATATCACTGCAATCCAAGCCATAAATTTGAGTGTATCTTTTATCAAAAGTTTGGCATTTAAATGTACCACCTGTTCATCAAGGCCCACTTTAAGGGTGTAAATCCACTGACAACCAATGATAAATTTTCCAAGAGGAGGTGGAACAAGCATCCACATATGATTGGCTTGCAGGGTGGTCATAAGCATTGCTTGTCACCATCCTGGATGGGATAGTGCTTCCTGAAAATTCTTAGGAATGGCAATAGATGATATAGCAAAGACAAAGGCATATAATGGGAAGGGTATAACTTGTGATCAAAAAATTATAAATGGAATGGGATTAAGAGCAGAGCATTTACCTCTGTGAAGTGGTATGGCCTATGGGTAGGTTAAGCGGAAGGGTCCAGTGGGACCATAGGGGGAGAAGAGGTTGGAGCAGGAGCTGAATCATGAAGATCATCATCAGCAATATCTGGAGCTTGACGATTGTGACACTCATAAGTAATACCAGACCAATGTAATGGAGTGTCCTTCTGTAATTCTGGAGCATTTGAATCTAGAGTCCTATTTTACTTGGTCTCCCATGTAGATTTAGGTATTAAGCTGACATTCATAGTGTTGCCACCTTCACCTCTTTTATTCATTATTGATTAGAGTTCAGCCAAATCTTTGTTTCACTATGAATTGTTTTACACTTACTGAATTTTCACTTTTCAGAACTGATGCTTGATCATAAAGTTTTGATTTGTATGATCTTAATTTTTCAGGTTCCTGAAATGTGCTATATAAGCACCTCAATTGACCTCAGTCTGGGAATGTTATATGTAGAATCTCCATGTTGCAAAGAAAAATTGCAAATCAGGCTTGAGTCAGATGTTTATGATGGTGCTATAGTGGATGTTGAACTATATGGCCAGAGGTATATGATGTTATGTTTTGCACTTTATCAATATTCTATTTATACTAATTAAAGTAGACTCTTGCAAACATTTCAATAACCTACTCTAAAGGTGCTGATGTGGACCTTCCTAAACATGCCACTAAAGGCTCTTCCCAAGTTACAACAACTTTTCATCTAGAGCTGAGGATGCAATCTGGCCAGGGTCCTCCCTGCAGTGCTTATGTTTTAAGCCCGTGGTTAAATGGACCAATCCTCCTAGGCCTGCATGTAAAGGGAGGGACTTGAATTTTACAGTATCATGTTCACGCTGTAGCCTTGTAGACTGGCATGCACTCCTTGATTATTTTTTTTATCTTTTGGGCTGTTACATTTGTTGGAAAATCAGTTTGATAAACAAATCATGCCTACAGATTGGTAAATTAGTATGATAAAAAAGCATGCCTGTGGATCAGTGTTTTGCAACTTTAGGAAGAACAAATGATAAAAAATCTCAATTAAGTCCCAATGAAATACAAATTTGAAATAAATAACTTTACAATATTAATTTAAGACATGCAATCGAGGCAAAAAAATTAATATGCACAAATAAAAAATATATTTCCTCAAAAGTAAATGCTTAAGAATCTTCAATTTCATTTTATTATGTTGCACGTCAATACACTAAAATGCTAATTTTCAATTTTCAAAATGAATCACAAATATTTATGTGAAGGCATCCACACAAGGTATGGCCTAAATGTCTAGTTTTACCTCATTAATTTGTATTTGTTGTTATGCATACATTCTGATGTTATGTATTGTCAAGGGTGATTTCAATAGTTTGGTATATATACTGGCGTTGACTAATTGAATCTGAGAGTATCACTTGAAGCTTAATTGTTTGTTGTTCTACTTGCTAATTATTTTATATTGTAAGCTTTAAGAAGTTCATAAATTGTTTTACTGAGTCAGTTTTAGTTTGGTCTTTCATATTTGTAATTTTTTTCTTAGGTACAAGGCATATAGTTACAACAGTGAGATCGATGCATGGTTTAGTGAAGCCGTTGGTAAACCTTGCACTTTGTTACGGTATTCCAATTCCAATCAAGATTCTGTCTTGAATAAGATCAATGGTGCAGCTAGATGTAGAGATACAAAGAACAAACTCAATTTTGCCAATGAAGGACAATTCTTACTTGTATCTGAGGAAAGTGTATCTGACCTAAACAAAAGATTAAGCTCAAGTAAGCTCTTGTACCCATTTTTTTATTTGAAATTCCAGTCCTCCTTTTTTTTTTTGCTTCAATTTTTCCATTTTAGAATGAAATAGCAGATTTTGATTACTGTTTGACAAATTTTAAAAAACTAGTTCATGAATCAAATTATGATGCATAATGGCTTGCATTCTTGCTGATTGATTTGATTGTTTGATATTAATAATAATGCAAAGGGGATTTGAGTGTATGAAACAAAATAAAAAGGCATGTGAAATTCCTTTTAAAAAATTAACTTTTCAATTTTACCTTTAGTGATCACTTGTATATCACAAACTTTATTTAGTTATATTTTTTTTAGTCTCTCAACCCCAATGTTCTGGAATATTGAATGTTTGCTAACTATAGTTGATGCTAATAGATGTCCAGAATGGCACATCTAGAGCAATGGTGCAAGTCAGTGCAAGCAGGTTTCGTCCCAACCTTGTGGTATCTGGAGGCCAGCCTTATGCTGAAGATGGATGGAGATACATTAGGATTGGAAATAAGTATTTCAATGTAAGTTCCGATAACCTCCTAAATGATTGGACAAAACAAATTTCCTATAATTGTGCAATTTGACATAAGCACTATATGATTTGATCCTCAAGAATATCATGAGAATGCAGAAGTAATGATGAGAGCATCTAAATCAGATTTTGAAACTTGATGATGTCTTGTTACTCTTGTACTTACAAACCTTGGTATAAATTCAAAGTAAAATCTTAGCCTGATAAACGTCTTAAATAAAGGAACCTAAGAAATGAAGAATTGAATGTCAACAAGATTGATTAATTTGGATAAGTTTTGTTTACTCCCAGAATATAAGGGATAACTCACAATGATGATATTTGAGTATTATTCAAAAGCTACAAAAGCCATAGTTTGTAGGTTTGTATATTAACTTTTTGTAATCCTAAAACAATAAAACCTTAAAAAGATGTGGACTAGGGCTTAATTAACTAAATAAGTTAAAATAGACCTAACTTGGGCTTAATAATAATTAGTTCAAGCCATAACATGAAAAGAAATAACCTGAAATAAAGTAAAAGGATCTGGAGTTATTTGTGATCATAAAGTATTTATCAATCTAAAAGAAAAGTTTTATTATATTGTTATACAACCAGTTATCCTGTATGGTAGCGAATGTTGGTCTTTAAAAGAACAACACGAGAAAAAAAGTAGGAATTGCATAAATGAGAATACTAAGATAGATAAGTAGAAATGATTGTATATGTGAAAGTATTGGATTTGGAGTAACACCTATTGTGCAAAGGATGACAGAAAATTATTTAAGGTGGTTTGGGCGTGCAAAGAAAGCTTTTGGAGGCATCAATAAGGAGAGTGAATGACATGACTTATAGGCCAGTGAAAAAGGGTAGAGGGAAACCAAGAAAAACTTTCAAAAAAATTATTAAAAGAGATTTAGAGATAAATAATATCTCGAAGAATTTGGTTTTTGACTAAGTTGAATAGTATCGTGTGATCAATATAGCTGACATCATCTAATGGAATAAAACAATTGTTGTATCTTTTAGCACTAGTTTTCCTATTTTCTTAGCTTCCATATTTTCTAATATCTTGTAATTTGTTTCCTTATTTTGTTACTAATGATTCATAGTACAATAAATTAGAAGAATGTGAAATTAGTTATGATTTGATCTTTCCTCTCTTGCTGGCTAGCTGTAAACAGTTTCTCTTTTTGTTCAAAGGATTATTCTCTTCATATGATGCTATTGTCATGGTTGGGTCTAATCAAAATCTTTTGCCTTTTCATGATCTAACTTACTGATCATGAAACTTGTTTAGAAAATATTGGCTCCTTCTCCTCTCTTTTGCAAGTCCTATGTGTCTAATATCCAAATGAATGTTCTTATCTCATTCACATAGCTCAGCCTTCTCTGCATCCTACTTCTTTCTACTGTTCCTTCTGAGTTGGTCGCGTCCATCTTCTCCTTTTGGAGGTTGCTCCCTTCTCCTCTTGTGCACCATATTTTCCTTTTGGTATGCCATCTGCATCTTTTCTTCTATCTTATTATAAATATAGCTATACAATGTTGTTTCTTGTTTAATTTAAGGGTGATATTGTCTTATAAACCATTAATCAAGACATGAATAATAACAGCATACATGATGTGAAAAAACAAATTCTTACGCTTAATTTTGGAGAGTTGATTGCTTGATCTGTGTGTGTTGTGTGTGTGTGTATGTGTGTTTGTGGGTGTCTATCTATCTATCTATCCATTAACCAGACGGTTTAATTTTAGGTTGATATGGTCTTTTGAACTATTAGGATATGAATAGTAACAACATACATGATGTTCATCCATACAGCATATGCACTGCTTGTGAAGTACAATGATTCTTGTGCTTAATTTTGGGAATTTGATTGCCTGACCTCTCTGCTCTCCTCCAGTCACTAGGGGGATGTAATCGATGCCAGATGATCAACCTTGCACTAAATGCAGGACAAGTGCAAAAGTCAAATGAACCTTTGGCAACTTTAGCATCATACAGGAGGGTAAAGGTTGGCTAAGTTGTCTTGTAGCTAGATTTCAATTATATACTTGATTTATTTGGTGCATCAATATTCTCATATATAAATATTAAAGCAGGGAAAGATTTTGTTTGGCATACTACTGAAATATGCATCTATTCATGGAGAGAAGCAACAAGGTGATTCCTGGCTTCATGTGGGGCAGGAGGTGAATCCAGATAAGAGTGCAATTTCTACATATAATCATACACAAATGCCCTCAAATTCTTGTCCTCAAAACTCTGGGAAGCCTTTGACGTTATAGTGAATGTGGCTCTTTTCTTTGTTGTACAGTTTCATAAGAGGCGATAGGAGTATGTTGTGTGATGTGAGGATGAATATTGGCAGAATGCACATTGGTTATAAATTTTGTAATGTTGCATTTGACAATGAAAAAGTCAATAATAAAGAGGGTACGACGTGATTTGACTCTACCATCCCAAATCGTGAAGAAATTAAACTATTTGGAGCATACATTTATTTTACATATTGGCATATTCTTAGGCTAAAGCATCCAATGTCTTGTATTTTAAGCAATCAAAGATGTCCATGAACGTGGGGAAACAAAATTAGGTGTCATTATAAAATAATTACTTATAAATTAAGTGGTTGAATAACTTAATTATTCATATTAATAACATCTTACGGTCTTTTGATCCAATGTTTATGGCGTATGAATTCATATATCCCAGTTTATGCTGAACTTATAGAAAGGCAATCAAGGTCTAAGTACAAATTTATCGACTTAATAATGCAGATTCGTAGACCACATTGGAAAGCAACAAGAAAAGAGTCCTAAAATCAACTAAGATGGACTTATTTACCAGTACGGGTCTAATTTTAATACTATTTTCAAATATAAGTTTAATTATTTTTGTCATAGTCACTTTAAATATAATACTTTTCAGCTTTAGTATTAAAAGTATCCATAAGTATGAAGTGATAGTAGTTTTGTATTTGACATAAGGCAGAATTTTTTTATATTAATGTAAGTTTATAAATTCATATATTCAATTTAAGCATTTTAATTTACTTACATTTAATGGTCAGTGAAATAATAAATTATAATATGTTAATATTTTTAATTAATTTTTTAGTAATTATTTTGCTTAGTTTTATTATTATTTATTAATCATTTGTTTATATTTAGTCATATAATTTTAATTTTTTATCAATTAAAATATAATATTATTTGTAATAATAAATTTAGTTTTCAGTAATGCTTTTAATATGATATATTTAAATTATTTTTATATAATAAACATATGTCTAAAATAAATTTGATATGAAATAATTTTAGTTTAGTTTTAATATTTTTAAAATATTAGAACCAACTTTAAGTTAGTACTTTTTTAATCATTTAAGGAAAGTAAACAATTAATTAATTTTTATTATTATTTATTGATTATTTTTTTATAATTAAAATATTTTATCTGTTAATATTTAAAAAATATATTATTTGTAATAATAATTTTAGTTTTAACTAATGCTTGTAATATGATATATTTAAATTATTTATATGTAATAAATATATGTCTAAAATAAATGTGATATGATATATCATAAAAAAAATGTGATATGATATAATTTTAATTTTATTATAATATTTTTAAATAAAATAACTACCTAGGTTAATATTTTTTAATTATTAATTAAAGTAAATAATTAATTTGTTGTTAATATCATTTATCAATTACTTTGTTGTATTTAGAATATTTTATCTGTTCTTATCTATTGAAAAATATTATTTGTATTTAGTTTTAGCAAAGTTATGCAAACAAATAGGACATAATTAATGTCAATGTGGTCATGAGTAATTGATTTATTGTTTAAGTGACACATGGTAATGTATTAATAATCAACGTAATATGTTTTAGCAATAAAAATGTTTTAATGATGTACTTAATCTATTCCTATTTAGTGACATGTGGTAATGTATTAGCTGTCAATGTTATATGGTTTAGCATAAAAATTGTTTCAGTGAAATATTAATGTATTACTATTTATATCATACTGTACAAAGTTAAAAAATACATCAGTCACAATGTAAAAGTTGCATTTGAGTGTGAGAATGAATTGTAGAGGATGATCTCTAGCTCCACAGCGAGAGTTACGTTACATTGCTTATCTTGCACTTTTGCATATGCAACAATGCCAAATTTTGCATTTAGATCAATGTCACCTAACTAGTTGTAATGATGATGTCTGTCTAAGAGGTTGAAACTCTGGACCTAGTGCATTGGGCGTAAATAAGGATGACGAATATGGAGGTGTCATGAATAAGGTAGGTTCTAGGAGTGTGACACAAGGGGAAATAGAAGGGTTAAAACATTTTGTTTGTAATGAGTGAAAATAGAAAGCTTGTGTAACCTATAAATGAATAAAGGAAAACTATGGAGGGACATAGTAGACATCGTCTAATTCTTTAGGTAATGGAGAAAGTGAAAATTAGTTATCTAAAACAAAATTATTCAATGAATAAGTTACAATACAAAAGTTTTACTTTAATTAACTAATAATTAAGAATTAAGATTTAAGAAATAAAATATTATGATACAATTAACTTGAATGTGTGTTAACGATGTTGCAAGTCTCTTTCCTCCCTACGTTGCCAAGATTGAATATCAACTGTGCATCCATTTTGAATGGAAAGTTCAAAAGACAAAGAGTGATCCTATAAGATGGGTTCTTACTCATTATATAGTAATAGCATGGTCTCACACAATTCTTTCATCTTGTCAAATGTAAATGACTTTTGCCTAGCACCTACACAAGTATAATGATGTCTTATGAGCATCTCCTTGTTAATATATGCACTTATAACTTTTAGTATTTATATTTAATATTATAACCAAGTATGAGAAATAACGATAATGTAAAATCCCTCTTTCAAATTGTAAATAATTTGTATTTAACACTTATATTATTAAAACATGATTAGCAAAAATTTGTATAAACTTGTATACTTTGGATAAATGGTACAGTATGGAAACAAGAATTAGAAAACTTGACAAATTTACAATATTTCTTCATCAATATATAAAATATTCTTAATACAAAATTTCTCTTTAAAATTTAATGGAAATACATTAAAAGATTTTATATCTGAGCAGTTCCTTTCCCATAACTCCGTGATGAGTATGACCCTAGAACGGATCATCCATCTCCATTCTTTCTCTTTCATTACTTGAAACATTTCAATAAGGGTGAGTATTTCCCGCCCACTAAGTCTTTTTTATTATATCTTAACAGTAATTAAATCCGTAATATAACATTCTATTCTAGTTCATTCTCAATAGCGTTCGACTCATATTGACACTCATTGCATTCAAATACATATAATCATACATTCATCCATCAGAGTACATACAACATTTCACTCATTATACATACATTTCTATATTGACTTGTATGTTATTATACACATATCATATCATTTCAATTAATGTGTCCCAACACGTCTGTCCCAATAACACCTGTCGATGTACTACAACACATATAACACAACAACATAAATCGATCTGCCATGACACATATATCATAATCACACATATTTCATTTCTCATCCCATCTATAACAATTTTCATCATAATTGCCCCTGGGATCCCTTGAGGACTTCCTAGCATAGATAGCTGCTGGTTAGCCACAACATCATGGATACACGTGTGTAGCCCCGACCTTTTTTAGCAAAGGTATAGTTAGGAGCTTCGTCGAGAGATGAGGGTGTGGCCTGTGAATGTTTATTTTCAATAAATTGTTGTGCACCCTATTAATCTTAACATTCACCATCCTCATTTTTCTAAGATTTTCTAAAATCTTCTCCTTAACTCTATACCCCCAATGTAGCACTGTACTATCTATAGTCATTTTCTTTCTCATTCTCAACATTTCCCATTTCATATTATTCATCAGCATCTCATATCTCATGAGTCACAATTTATATAAATTTATGGATTACAATATACCTAATAACACACCCTTTAGTGTGCTATAATTTATATCATAATAACTCCGTTTCAAGTTATGTGACTCATGCAGTATGATCACACATCATATTCTTTCTCACGCATATATTACATGCTATCACTTTCCTTCCACATTTCATTCATTTCTATAATTCTGATCATATTGCATACATATCAGTCATCACTTTATAGCTACACTTATTGCATCATACTCAATCAACACACAAAGTGTCATGCAATATCACGTCATGCAACCAATACAATCATCAATCTCATCACAGAGACTACCATACAATATCATACCATCTAATCAGTACAATTTGTCGAAGGTCAGACACCTTCAGACTCAGCCCAACTCGCACAATCTCAATACATATATAGTTTCCTAACTTAAAGTTCATCATTGTATATTTTTTATCACTTAATTCATGTACACTCATAGAAACTTAATTTCTTGAAACCTCTTAAAGCTATTCTAGCTCATATCTTTCTTTGAAAATATGATATTACCAGTTCAAGTAAACCTCAAATCTCTTTTTCTATCAAAATACGCATTTTTCATATAATACTATCAAAATTTACCAATCTTTACTGAGTGAGATACCCATGTTTCTCGTAGAACCACTAGATCTATATATATTCATATATAACTACACCTAGAAAATACTCCCCTTACCTGGTAAAGGTTCTTCCAAACGAGTTCTCTAAATGATCTACAGAGAGATTCCATGGTATTCATGGAGAAATCTTCTAAATGATACGGTTTCCTAAAGATTTCACAGTAAAAACCTTGACATGAGAAGAAAACCGTAGAAAATGAGTAAAATAGATATTAGAGCTCTAAGAAACTTACTTATATCTAAATGGAATCGGTGGTTGAGCTCGGATCTAGAAGAGATTCAGAGTTTGAGAGGGTCCCTTTTAGAGAGATAGAGGAGAGAACTCAGAGAAAATCTAGAGAGAATGTCGTTTGGTGAGAAATGAACGTTTTTGGAGCTGAAGGTCCTTAAATATCCTTTGAAAATCATGCGATCTCGCTTGAGCGACGTCCAACTCGTTTGAGCGACCTCATCTTGCTTGAGCGACCGACAGCTCGCTTGAGCGAGATGTGCAGAAACGATCTCAAACCTTCTTTTTCTGATACGCTTGCTTGAGCAAGATCCATCTCGCTTGAGCGAGATGATGTCCAGAGAGCTCATCATTCACCCTGTGAGTCCTTGCTTGAGCGAGATAGCTCTGCATCTGCCTTTTCCTGCACGAATGATCTCGCTTGGGCGAGATCCACCTCGCCTGAGTAAGATCTCCTGCACCAAAACTCCTCCAAAAACCCTTTACACTCCCTTCCAAGTGCATTCTAATACTACTTAATATTAAACAAAACCACATTCACCAATAATGAAATGAGGATGTTACATATAAGATCATTCACATAGAAAAAGTTTAC